CACACACACACACGCACGCACATGTGTACATGTGTACATGTATATATATATGGCAGTTGCTCTCTCTTTCCCTCTCTCTCTCTCTATTCATGCGACTCGCTAGTTTGCGTCTCGCCCAATTGCGCCTGCTTTCGTCCTGACAGCATGCGCTCTCGCTTGCGCACACAGCGCGCACTCGTCGTTAATTTTCTCTCCGTTGTCCTCGTCATCATCGTCTCATCGGGTGGTGGTACAGTTTTCTGCGTAGACCCAAAATTGCGTAAATTTTCTTCCATGTAGTTTGCTTGCATGTCTCGCACGGCGTTGTCCTCATCATCGCCGTTGCTGTCGTTGTCGTTGTCGTTGTCGCTGTCGCCGTTGCGGTTGCCGTTCTCGTCCTTGTTCCCGTTCGTCCTGTTGTCGTCAAGCTTTCAATTTGTTTATTCATCAATTCTTTACTGCCAAATAAACATTTAACATATTCCACAAAGAGGTTTGTACTTTGGTTATTGTGTTTCATATTCTTATTGGGCGTGTTTCTCAGTGTATCCTTTTTGCGGCTCGCTATTTTGTTCTGCGCCATTTTAATTGGTGTCCTTTATATTTTTCGTATGTATGCAGCTGCGGGGATTAGTTGAATTTTTGCTGATTTCTGAATACCTATAATCGAATATTCTCAAAACTGTTTCCAGGCTGTGTTTGAATGTTTTCTGTTTTTGGTTTTATTAAATAAAAAGAAATAGTTTAAACTTTTCCACACACAATTCGTGGATACATATAATATGTATGTGTATGTATCGCATTAACCCAGAAACTCAAAAGGCTACTCTGCAAGAAAATAAAACATCGTTTTGTCTATGTATGGGAGAGGAAAATAAGAAAATTGAATTTTATTTAATTAGTTATGTATGAGAAAAACAGAAATGGAAAATAAAAAAGAGTTTTTATAGTTTTCAATGATGCAATATAGTTAGCATGGTATGTAATTCAGTGAGAATGAATATAATAGATTAAAACAGGCGCATTTTTCAAACTTTAAATAGTCTATATTTCTAGTTTATTGTTAAAAAAAGGCCAACTTAAATTTTTCTAGCAGTGCTTAAAATCTAATTGTCGAGAAATGTATGCATTAGATATTGCACTAAAAGTTGAATAATTATTTAACTTTAGGTATATGATTAACACCAGAACATGATCACATCAAAAACTAATAGATAGTTATAAAGCGTTTATCTAGTTTTGACAAAAAAAAATTTTAACAATTGTCAAAAGCCTCACATATGGCTTGATTCTTAAGATCAGGTTTTGTACTATGCGAAACATTGGCATATTCCTCAGACTACTTTTGTGGTAAACATAATTCAAGTTTCAAATATAGGAGATTATAAACGAAAGCAAATAGATTCTTATTGTAATTAAATCTAAACTAAACGTCAAGATGTACAGCTAAAGGGAGGCTTAATACTGCAATATTAAATACTTATATAGTACGGGTTTAATACTACAGTATTAAATACTTATAATGCTTCAGTATTAAGTACTGACATGGTACGGGTTTAATACTGCAGTATTAAATACTAGTCTTTAACAAATGATGCTTTGACACAAAATTTTTAGAAATACATACTTTTTTCCATACTAATTATTTTAGAGTTTAGCTCGCTTTAAATTTTTCATTGGACCTAGCTTAAACACTTTTTATCTGAAAGTTGTGCCTGCTTAAAGGTCGAAATTTGTTTCCAAACCTAGCCATAAAATATTTTACCTATTTGTTTATATGTATAAATTAATAAAAAAAAACTATATATGATTTGTAAATCTAACAAATTTTCAGCCAAAAACGTTATTTTGACAAATTTTTCTCAACTATTATTTATATGATAAAAGCCTTAAACTTTCAGCCCTAAACCAAAATATACAAAACATTTTGTAGCATTTTTAGAACGATTCGAAAATATACAGTATATAAATATATGTATTCAAATATTTCTATTAACAATTATTGTAAGCCTATCAAAGTATAGCATCAATGCACCTTTTCAAGCTGGCCATAAAAACTAGCAGCAGCAGCAGCAACAACAGCAACTGCCTGGGCTGCATATCCTGCCAGCCTTTGAAGCCTGTTCGCCTGCCTGCCTGCCTGCCTGGCTGGCTGGCTGGCTGCTTGGCTGTGCTGCTGCCCTCTGTGTGTGCCTTGTCTGCCTGCTGTTGTTGCTGTCCCATTGAAAAAGGGCGCTTGAAAATGAAGTTGCAGCTGTTCCTGTTTCACTGCTATTTGCTTAGCAACAACAACAACAACGACAGCAGCAGCAACAACAACAACAGCAGGAGCAAAAGGGCACCGGGGGCAGGGCACGCACGCATTCATGTCAAGTCTTAGGCATCTGCGCTGGATTAATGCGCTGATCGCTGCTGAGAAGCTGGCAGCAGAGGCGGCACCATTTGTTGCCTCGCTCTCCAGTTCTCTCTCTCTCTCTAGCTGCCTCTCTCTATCTATCTATTTCTCCCTCTCTCTCTCTCTAACAGTTACAGATCGAGTTGATTAAACAAATATGTCTGATATACCGCGCATTATGGTTTTCCGTCCCACCTGGGAGGAGTTCAAGGACTTTCCCAAATATATTGCCTATATGGAATCACAGGGCGCCCACAAAGCCGGTCTGGCCAAGGTGGTGCCGCCATCCGAATGGGTGCCACGTCGCAGTGGCTATGCGGATTTGGATGCCTTAAATGTTACAATACCGGCGCCCATTTGCCAGGTGGTTACCGGCAAACAGGGCTATTATCAACAGATCAACATACAAAAGAAACCGTTAACAGTTAAACAGTTTAGCGAACTGGCTAGCACCGAACGCTATGCCACGCCCAAGCATTTCGATTTTGAGGATCTGGAGCGTAAATATTGGAAGAACATAACCTATGTGGCGCCCATCTATGGCGCCGATGTTAGTGGCAGCATCACAGACTCCGATCAGGATGTAAGTTTGGAGTGGGCTGATCTTTTTTTTGTTATTTTTTTTTTTAAATGCCTTGTTCCGCTGTTCGCAGAGCTGGAACATAAATCGCTTGGGCAGCATATTGGACTTTGTCAACAAGGACTATAATATACAAATTGATGGCGTCAATACCGCCTACTTGTATTTTGGCATGTGGAAAACCACATTCGCCTGGCACACAGAGGACATGGACTTGTATTCAATTAACTATTTGCACTTTGGTGCGCCCAAAACGTGGTACGTGGTGCCGCCCGAATATGGACGACGGCTGGAAAAGGTTGCCAATCAGTATTTTCCGGCCAGCTATAAGAATTGCAATGCGTATTTGCGTCATAAAATGACGCTCATATCGCCACAAATACTCAAGCACCACAATGTGCCCGTTAGCAAGGTAAAGCCAAAAGTCAACATTCCATTAAGGAAATAGCAAAAAAGTAAGAGCCGGAATTCGAGTTTGGGAATGGGATGTCATTGGGATCTTTTACAGAGCTAAATTGAGCTAACTAGTCAATCCCTTTAACAGAGAAAATCAAACTCAGGGCTTCCTTATTTATGTATTTGAGCATTAGACACACATGATTCACAGTTCAAACACTTCGCTCTTTTGTCAACTCGCGTACTCGTAACTGGTATTCACATTTGGCGGCTTCCAAAAAAATTCATAAAGGCCTCGTTTCCAGCGCCCAAGGGAATTTAAAAACATTCCCAACGCTTCATTAATGGCTACGATTAGGACATTGAATTCATGACATTTCTTTAAAGGTTATGAAGATTGGAATCGGAAGACTTCCAAACCAGTCCACGTATTTATTCGTCTAACAAGACTTGACTGGACTTGCCACAAGAATAACACTCCATAGATCCAGCTCGATTCCTGGCGCTCATATTTAGCCAAAGCTATTGCCCCCTTCCTATGCTTAACACATCTTCTCCCATTCATACAGATCACACAGGAATCGGGCGAGATAATGATTACATTTCCCTTCGGCTATCATGCTGGCTTCAACCATGGCTTCAATTGTGCCGAATCCACAAATTTTGCCATGGAACGCTGGATTGAGTACGGAAAGCGTGCAACGCAATGTACCTGCAGCAATGACATGGTCAAAATCTCAATGGACACATTTGTGAAGCGTTTCCAAAGCGAACGCTACGATGCGTGGCTGGAGGGATGCGATCTGGGCCGTCATCCGGAGGATCCGCCCAATGCGGTGCCAACAGCGGCGCCGCTGCCGCCGCATCTCGATGTACTGTTGTGTGATAAAAAGTGGGTTGAATTGAACCCATAAAAAAGACATTTTATTATATTTTTTTACTCACCCTCCCACAGAATGAAGAAGCAATGTAATCCCACCAAGGCGAAGAGTTTCAAGGAGCGTAATCCTGATTTGGATTTGGATGAAATCCAACAGAATCCCAATGTGCCCGACGATGTCAAGGCCATGCTTAAGGAGAGCGTGCTCACGCTCAACGAGGAGGAGACCGAATTTGCGCCCGAGGATGCCATGACACTGCAGAGTCCCGCTGACTTTAAGACCAAGCAGGAGCTGCTGGAGTACATGGACGATGGCACTGGTGAGCCGTTGAGACAGTCTCCAAATGCCCAAAACCGAAACCAATGCGCCGTTTCTGTTCTTTTCTTTTGTCTCTGTCTCTCTATCCCACTCTTTGCAGAGGATGATGATGAGGAGGAGGACTTCAAGCGGCGTAAACATAAGCGCAAATATGATGCGGACTACGATGACGATTGGCTGGCGAGCAAACGACGCACCAGCTCGCGCAACAGCAGTCGCGGTCGCAGTCCGCGTGCCAATAAAGACGATCGCTCCATATCGCCAGCATCCTCCACATCCACGTCCTCCACATCAAGAGGGGCGCGCGGCGGCGGTGTGCGCGCCAAAGCGAATTCCACGCCGCGCAAGACGCCCACACGGCGAAAAAAGGAGGCCCCAACAGCAGCCAGCACAGCAGCAACAGGCACACCAGCAGCAGCAGCAGCCACAGTTGCAGCCATCACTGAGAGCAGCAACAACAGCAGCAGCAGTGTTGGCGCAGGTGAGCGCAACAGCAGCAACAATTTGAACAACAGCAGCAGCAACTGCAGCATCAGCAACAGTAGCAACAGCAGCCACTGCAGCGCCACAGTCACAACAGCAACAACAACCATAGTCACATAAGATTCACAGTTCAACAGCCATCAACCATCAACATCCGCATCATCATCCAGCTAATCCAGCCAACCAACAACTAGCTAGCCCCATCCCCCCAACTGTTGACTAACTAATTTTAAAAACAATTTCAACCCGATCCCATTCACAGCCGCTTTTGTCAGAGTTTATTTTGTCAACATCGTCGTCGTCGTTGTCGTCGTCTTTTAGTTTCTTTTCTCGTATTTGTGTTTTTTTATATATGTACATGTATGTGTTTTGAAATTAGAAACTTTTGCTACAAAATAAGTCGTCAAAGTTGTGTCCTAATTTGTAAGCGCCTGAGAAATATATGAGAGCACGCTATATATATATATGTATACAGACATGTGTATATATATATTAAAAGAAACTCTATGCTAAAAACTAACCAAAAACCAAAACTGTTTTACTAAAAAAAATTCGAATGAGTATCTAACTCGATTGCTGGTTGGGCTTCAGTTTCAATTTCGATTTGTTTCTGCTGCAGCTTCGTTCGTTCGCTTTGCTCTATATATATGTATATATGTCTATATATATGTATATGCTGTGTGTTTGTGTGTGTCGCTTCACAATCCCAACGCTTACCTGCCACCATATAACAACCACATCAACAACATCCAATCACAATAAACAAACTTTTATAGCACATATAATACAAATTTCGAACGCATTTTTACAGATATTAAACGCAAACTCAACGAACAGCAACAGCAACAACAAGCACAGCAGCAACAGCCGCTGCAATTCATGCAACAGTCGCGCAAATTTGAGGGCAAAATACCAAAACTAAGTCAACAACAACAGCAGCAGCAGGCGACAGCAACAGCAACAGCAACAGCAGCAACATCTAGTCAGCAACAGCAACAACAAATTGTTTGCATCAACATGTTGCCCGCAGCCAATACACTAAATGGCATTCCACAGCAGCAGCAGCAGCAGCAACATCAGCAGCAGCAGCAACAACAACAATATACCAGCACGGATGGCAATGTCTATCAGCTGCAAAATGAAATACTCTGTGATGCAAATGGGCAGGCAACAACAGCAACAACGGCCACATATCAAACAACAGTCGCTGCCGTCGCCAGCAGCAGCAACAGCAGTCCGCAGCAGCAGCATCAGCAACAGCAACATGTTGCTGCCAGCGTTGCCGGTAAGTTGAAATATCTATATACTATATATATTGCTTTTGCAATACTCTTACTTAAAACCTTGCTCTCAATTACGTTTGTCGTTTTGTGTAGTATTTTGTTGCTTTCATTTTGTGTGCTCGTTACAATTCCTATTATTGTTTTGGTTTTTGTTCTTTTATATTTATTAGCTACATTTACTAACTCCTTTTTTATATTTCACTTCTTTTTTTTTAACGATTCCAATTGGCAACATGTATTTATTTTTATAAAATTTATCAAGCGCTCAACCCTCAACATTCTCATAACACAATGCATTAACAATTTGTAGAAGTTTTACTTTAAATTTGTTTTGTCTTTGTTTATTATTTCTTTTTGTGTTCTTTGTTGTTTTCGTAATTTTTAACAATTTTGTGCCAAATCAAACTGCAGCTAACAAGAAGAAGAAAAACGTGAAATTCCAAAGCGAAAAAAAAAAACAAAAAGAACAAGATACAAATTTGTTTACTATATGTTTATTCAATAAAATGTGCTGGTCTTCCATTTGCGGTGTTTTGTACAATTTTGTAGGCACAAGTTGGCCAAAATAAAAATAAACTATTTAAAAAAAAAAAATAAAGACAATTTTTATACAAAATCAGTTTTAAGCTGATTTATACAAAAAAAAAAAAAAAACGTTATACAAAAATCAGAAGAAAAAACTCCCAGCTGAATGCATCCCAAACAAATAACAAATCGCTTTTCAGTTCTTTTACACAATTTACACCTCGTACACTGTCTGTCTCTCTCCCTCTCTTCTTGCTGAGCATATTTTCTCATTTCTGTTTATATATATATATTTATATATGCAAACAGATATCGAAATATAATAAAAAAAAAAAACACATATAAATAAATGCACAAATTAGGCCCCAGCCATATATTGGAATATATTTATTATATATTTGTATACGAATGTGATTGATGATGGTGCAAAGCGCATTTGAAGAAAGGCTCAAAACTTATTTATTTTTTTCATTTATGTATGTATTTATATTTTTAGTTTATTTAAAGTTGTTTTTAGTTTAGCTCTTAAGTTATTTTTGCTGTTCACAATGGAGTCGATGTTAGATTTGAAAGTGCGCTGAATTTGTGTTCCAATTTCGTTCTGGTTAGTATTCTAGTTAATATTCGCACTATTTTTTATTCGAAGCTTCAAAACTGACTTATTTGATTGGTTAATAGAAATATGCTACAATTTAAAAGTTGGTCAAACATGGGCTCGCTCTTTGTTTGTGTCTCAATTCCGTTTGTTCCAGGCAGCACTTTATTTTCGAATCTTGCATTACTTTTGCTGCAAGTATTTAATTTCCTTCAGTCAAGGAACAAAACATAAAATAATTAACATATCCAATTAGCAAACTTCAATTTTTTTTGCTGCAAGTCTTCAATTTCCTTCAATCAAAGGACAAAACATAAAATAAATAATATATCCAACTAGCAGGCTTCAATTTTTAATTAGTTATCCTCCTCATTTAACAGTTCTTTTAATTGTTTGATAAGGCTTGACATTAATAGATATTACCATTACGTACAATTGTAGAGTTTCATCAAGCTTTTTACTCCTTACACTCGTTTCACTCCAGAGTTTTAAATTCCAACCATTTTCGCCATACGAAAAGTATCGTCCAACATTTGTAGAACCGTTGATGATACAAAAGTGCTGCCCATCAGCTTGTATTCCCCTCAATTCCATTGTGAACATTGCGCGTAGTATATATTATTTTAGCATTTTGCACAAATATTATATTTTTTAGGTATTTTTTAGTACTATTTTTTGATATTATTTACTATAGCCAAATGTGGCCATTTTCAAATTGGAATCAATTTATTATTAACTTTAATTTTTTAACGTTTGCTCTACCGTATGAAACAGTATACTGACATAATTCTAATTCGTAGTGATTAAGTAAATACAAATTGATGCGACAAACAACAACAAAATAGAAAAACCAATTCACTCATTTCTCTTTGGTATGTAGTGTATGCAGCTCTATATATGGGGTATATACGAATCGGATATGCTCTATATAAAAACTGTTTAGTTCGATGATGATTTGTAGCTATAATTTTTGCACAACCCATTGATTAATAATTGATTTTTTTCTTTCGGTATTCGATTTTGAGTGAATTGTTGATTGATTTCGATTTCGATTACGATTACAATTTCGATTTCGATTTTTCGAATTGATTTCTTGATTATTTATGCAAATATTACATTCAAACACATCTTTTATATGAACCAAACCGAATATATGTACTTTCAATCAATATAAACAAAAGACAATGTGGTCACAACTATTAGTTCGTCCTCCATCCTGCACACGAACGCCACCGCAAATGGAGCAACGGATGGCCAACAGCAGCAACAGCAGCCCCAATATCATTATATAACCACAACTGGAGAGGATGGCCAGACGCCGACGACCATAGTCTTTGAGAACTATAACGGAGGTTTGCCCGCGACGGCGGTTAGCGCCGCCGCAGTGACCCCTGTCGTTAGCAGCATCGATGTTGGCAGCGGTGGTGCTGGTGGCGGTGGCGGTGGCACAGTGCCAGCAACGACAACAACAACAACAGCGCTGGTGAATACGGATGGCACAATTATTGAGTTCGACGGCAGCACCTACGAGGAGTATCATGTGCTGAAAAGCGAGAATGGAAGCAGCGATTGCCTGAGCAACGGCAGCAGCGCCGTGGCGGCGGACATTATAAAGTACGAGCCACAGCATGTGGGTGACGATGAGGAGCTGTTGGGCGAGGGTGAGGAGAGTGGACTGCAAGTTAAATATGAGGAGCAGAGCCTGGAGCATGAACATGATTTCGAGGAATATCATGTGATTAAATCGGAAGTGGAGGCCGAGGCAGCGGAACAGGCGGCTGGCACCATCAGCTACACCATCACCAGCCACGACGACCAGCACCAACAACAGCAAGAGCAGCAACAACAACAGCAACAGCAACCACAACAGACCATCAATGATGCGATACCCGGCATGCTCTCGAAAGCGGCGGCGGCCAAGCAGAAACGTAAACGCAAGACGCGCGTCATTGCGGAGGATGAGCAGGGCGAGTATCTGGAGAAGATGAGCGTGCGCGGCCTGGACATAGCGCGCTACGAGCACATTATCGATGGTGTCGCCTATTGCCTGGTCTGTGCCAAGAACGACATCTTCAAGACGTTCAAGAACAAGTACAGTTTCCAGCGGCATGCGTATCTCTTCCATGAGGGTCAGAACCGCAAGATATTCGCCTGTCCCATATGCAACAAGGAATTCTCGCGGCCGGATAAAATGAAAATGCACAAGAAGGATAAGCACGGGGATGTGCCCATGCCGCCCTCATCAGCGTCGAGCACGCCACAAAAATCTGATGCGACGGGCACGCCGGCGGCCAAGCGTGCGCGGACCACACGAACGCCGCGCGTGCGCAAGCTGAAGGCGGGTGATGCGGCCACGCCTGCCAAGAAGCGTTTGGCCCAAATCGACAGCGTGCTGGATGAGGTGCAGAATGCCGAGGCGGAGCAGCAACAACAACAGCAGCAGCAGCAGCAACAACACCAACAACAGCAACAACTACAGCAACAGCAAACGACAACCGCAGCGCCGCAGCAGCAGCAGCAGCTGCAAACGCTGCCCTCGCTGGACTTTAGCGGCATGATACTGCCGGGCGGAGCACAGCTGGCGTTGGCCAATCCCGGCGCCAGCAGCTCGATGACGCTGCAACGCGGCCAGGCAACGCCCACGCAGAGCGCACAGCCAACGACAACGACGCTCATCTATTCGAATCAGCTGGAGTTGCAGCAGGCGTTGCTGCAGCAACAGCTGCACGGTCAGAGCATTATGATACAGGATCAGGCGGGCAATCTGGTGCCGTTGCAGCTGGATGGCACCCAAACCATCTACACAACGGCGCCAGCGCCGCAGCGTGCGCAGGCGACAACGTATCAAACCACAACGCAGCAGCAGCTTCAACAGCAGCAGCAGCAACAGCAGCATGAACAGCAGCAGCAGCAGCAGCAGGTGGCCACCAGTCAGGCGCAAGCGCAGTCCACACACTACGATCTGGACAACGTGACCTACCTCAGTTCGACGGCAGCGGCCACGCCCACACTGCCCAACGAGCAACAGCAGCAGCAGCAACATGTCATTGGCACTGTGCAAAGCTATCAGATACTCACGCCCGACGGGCTGCAAAGCTTTCAGCCCAAGCTGGAGGCCACGGAACTGGGTGATCTCTGTCCGTACACCATGAGCGCGACGGGGGCGCCACAATACACATTCACCACGCACGCCAGCGCGCAGCCCACGCTGAATGCGAACGCGCTGGACGCCCAAACCCAACAGCATCACCAGCAGCAGCAGCAGCAGCAACAGCAGCAGCAACAGCAATCGCAGCATTTGCTGCAACAGCATCAATTTGGCCACAATCCGCATCATCAGTTTATGGAGCTGAAGAATGAGCTGCTGATAAAGAGCAGCGATGCGTATACGCTGGATGCCGCCTCCATGTACCACCTGCCCTTCTCGCCGACATCGATGATAAACGCGGTTAACGATGTAAACAACTCGTCGCTGCTGGAGACCAAAGAAATTAGGTAAACACAGTCACTAAATCCTAACTTTTACTTTCTCTCTCTCTCTCTTATCTATCTCTGTATACTATATAACTATATCTTACTAAAAGAAACTATGCTACTCGCTACCAGCTAAGTAAACTCTTTAGTGTAACGCGCTCTCGTTTGTTTTAGACTCGCTCGCTCGCTGTCAATCTCTCTCTCTCTCTCTCTCTCTCTCTCTCTCTCTCTCTCTCTGTACTCGCTATTACACTGTCTTCTCTCTCTCTCTCTCTGTGTTACTTTTTATCAGTTTTGTAGCGTAGTCAGCGGCGGCGCTGCGTAATTGCTGTCAGCATGTTGCAGTCGCTGTACCGTTACGTTGCGTTCCATTCCGTTTCGTTTCCTTTTTCTTTTACTTAGTGTTGAACAACGTCGCGGCAACTACTAAAAAAAATAAACACACTTTTAAAACATACAAAAACCAATTTGAATATTTCGAATATATAAAAAAAAATACCACGTACATTAACAAAGTTTAGTTTTTAATTTTTTTAGTATTTTCTAGTAGTTTTTCTTTAAGCGTATCATATGTACTATTTAAGTATTTTGATATTATTTTTATATAATTATTTATACATGTAGCCGGTATATTGCTTAACTTATTTATTTTTCAGTTAGCCTAGCTTTAATTTAAATTTGTGCATTTATTTATAGAGTATTTTTATAATTACTTTCACCGATTTCCATTACAAATATATTATTTCTGTTCAGCTTTATTGTTGCTTTCGGTTCTGTACAGTCTTCAGTGCTCCAAAGAACACCTTAAGTATTAACATTTTACCATCAACAAAAAAAGAGACTCACAATTTGTGGAGCCTTTATGTACACATACATTATTTGTTTGGTTTTATTTTTCCTTTCGACAATAATTTGTATTACAATGTGTTACTTCAATGCGATTTTGTTCTTTTTTCTTTCTTTTTCTCTTATTTTATTTTATGTACACACAACCAACCCACCAACCAACCAATCAATCAATCAAAACAAACTCGCATATTAAAATAATAATATAACTATAGCTACGATATATCAGAAGCCGTGCTTCTAGCGCTCTGAAAAAGCTACGACAGCAAAACATACAAACAATAAAAGCGACAACTGCAGCAAAAGTACCAAAAACTATATATTGTTAAAACTAAACAAAAAATGAACAAACGATAAAACGATTAAATGAAAAAAAGAAAAGCAACGCAAATGGAAACCATTTACAATGCGATAGAGCGGCATACAAATGAAAAACAACACTAAATGCATATATTAAATATGTTTGATCATAACGCTTAAATACTCATAATACTCATTTACATTAACACACATTTTACAACACTAACAAATGAGGATAAACTCGCATGCATTCAACTGCCACAACACGTACGTGTGTGTGTGTGTGTGTGTGTGCACACAAACAACAGCAAGCAACTTCGCACAATTTATTAATTTTTGCGCACCTCATAAACATTTCATTTGCATTTGTTTCAAAATGGACACCAAATTATATAAAAAAAATAAATAAAAATTTAAAAATATATATATATATATAAATATAAAATTGGACTTTTAAAGTGCAAGGTATGTGTACTTTTTTTATTCGCTTTTTATTTATTTATTTTTTTTTTATTTACTTATTTTAAGTTTTTTATGTTAACCAGCTTTGCTTAAGCTCATTCAACTCATTATCCATTACTAACACACATTGTTGCTAAATTTGAGGCTGTTCTCATAGAAGAAAAGCGGGAAGAAAACTAAAAGACATTTCCTTAAGAAAAGCGCAGAATAATGGGAACTTCAGAAGGCTTTCCGTGGAATTCAAAACGTCAGCAAGATAAATTTACTTCAATCCTAACAGATTTATATACTACTATGTTTTTTTTTGCTTTTCTTTATATTCATAACTTTTTCAAAGGGTCTCAATTATTACATATTATTTAAATTTATTTATTACTTTCGACAACAGATTTCCATTCCAATCTTTTGGCAATTTTATCATTTTGATAAAACTGGCATTTTTTCTGGGGGTTGTTTTTCAGTAGTTTGTTAAGAATCTGGTATTTTTTTAATCGAAATGTACTTCTATGCGCTTCGTTAAAATACTAGAAATAGGGCTGTGAATTGTGAATAGCAATTTAATTGTTGCTCCAAATGTCATTTCGATTTTGCCACTAAAAACTGTCAACTACAGTATTAACTCTCAATCAGATCTAAGGCAGTTCTCTGGCAAAGATTAGATTTCCATTTTTATTACTGCACGTAGTAAAGATTTTCTTTTCATTATTGTTACTTTTTTTGTTGCATACCTTTGATTTATTTACGTTAATTGGCCTAACAATTGGTTACTCACAATAAAATCCATCCATGACTTGTATATAATAACACACCCAACATACCCATTCATACACACATATTTTATGATTTACTAACCCCAAAAACTAAAACTCTAATACTAAATAACAGTAAAAAAGAGAAAGAAAAAATCCTTAAATTAGATTTAAAAAAAAAAAAAACAAATGAAGCAAAATGCTAATAAAATTGTTTTAAATCCAAATATTTGTTCTTTTTCATTTTTCTCAACAATTTTTGTTCGCCCGTTGTGTTCATGTTTTGTGTTGTTCTTTTGTCATATTTATGATTTGCATACAAAATTCATATACAACAACAACAACAACAACAACAAACAAACAAACAACAACAATAAACATGCATCACCACAACAACAACAAAAACAACCACAGGTTCTTCTAAACAACAAGCATACAACAGCAAGAACAACCAGTTCAAGCGGCCATACACACCACGCTACAACAACTACAACAACAACAACAAGAACACTCAGAACAACATGCACAACAGCTACAGCAACAACAACAACAACCACAATGATTGGCAGCGTCGCCAGGGCGAAGCGAATCGCATCTATTACGAGGAGATTGTCGTGAAACAAGCCAATTCACGCGCTCTCCTCGCCGCCGACGGCAACAGTCGCAATCGCAACAGCAACGGCGGTAACAGCGGTAACAGCGGTAACGGCAACAGCAACAGCAGCAGCAACAGCTGCCGAAGCAACAGCAACAGCAATCGTAGCGCCGCGGTCAGTTTCGTCGACAAATTCGCTGACTTTGTTACACATAATCGTAGAAATTTGAAAAGCAACTGCGACTCTCAAGTGCACAACAGACACACTAATAATTACAACGCTGTCTCATCTCTCATCCCAAATTCTAACAACAACAGCAATGGCAACAACAACAACAACAACGGCAGCAACAGCAGCAGCGCTGGCAACAACGGCAACATCAACAACAACGTGAGCAGCAGCAGCAGCAGCAGCAGCAGCAGCAATGGCATCAAGGCAACCATCGGCAAGAAGACGCCCGTCATTCTGCTGGCCGCACGTGGAGCAGTTGGCGCTGGTCACAAATCGCAGCAGCAGCAGCAGCAACAACAACATCCGCCGCTAGCCCTCATCAATGGCAGCCAAACAGGCGGCAAGCCATCGGTCACATTGCTGCGCGTCAATACGAACACCAATCGCAGCCGCCAGGTCATCATCGCGCCAGACGCATCTAGCCTGCAGCAACAGCAACAGCAGCAGCAGCTGGTTGAGGAGGAGGAGGAGCTCATCGATGAGGATGTCTATGAGGATGGCTTGTGCTCATCCACAGCGCAAATCTTGCGCAAATTTCGCATACCCAAAGGCACTGCGCTTACGGCCAAATCAGTGGATGGTTATTTGACCATGCCCACGCCCACGCCCTCGCCGCCAATTGCAACAGCTGGCGTTGCGCTAGATGCGGCCAGCTATGTAGACAATACAGACGACATCATCGAAGAGCTCAACGAAGATGATCTGGTCGAGGAGGTCATCGATGAGGAGGCCAACTGCGAGGAGCAGCAACTGCTGCTGCAAGAGCAGCAGCAGCAGACAACGCATGACAACGATGGGCTCGATCTCAGCAGCAGCAGCAACAGCGACCACACAGCAGCTGCGGCAACAGCGCCAACAGCAACATCCACAATGCTGCTACAGCAGCCGCAACAGCAACAACAGCCCGCGGCAGCGTTGCAGCTGCAAACCGTGGGCCCCAATGGCACCGTGACCTGCTTCAATCTGCCACCGAATACCATACTGGTGCAATCATCCGATGGTAGCATTATAGCGCATCCCAGCAAGGCTGGGCAGCAGCAGCTGATTGTGTTGCCCGCGGACTGGCCCACGGCCAATATGACGCTGGCTGAGACGGCGGCAGCAGCAGCTGCTGCACCGCAGCCAGCCCAAACACAAACGCTGCTGCTGACAGCCGATGGCACCGCCATACCCATAATGGCACCACTGCAGCAGCAGCAGCAACAGCAGCAACAGCAGCAGCAACAACAAGCCGCAGCTGTTGCTGCCGCAGCGCAGCTTTTTGCCGCGTAGGGTCTAATGGGTGGCCAAATGGGTCGATTTTTGAATAATGCCACAATAATGCCAACAACATATTTCTTTTAAATTCAATCAGCGAATGTTGCGCTTGCCGCAAAGCAGCCACATGATGGGGCACAGCTTCGTTGTGCTGCTTTGCGCCAGTTGCAACAGAGACTAAATAAAAAAAAAAAAAGTAGACTTTAATTTGTTTATACAATTTGTAAGCCCTTTCGACAATTTGTTTGGGGCATGGTACATACAAAAATCGACACATTTGGCCACCAAAACCGGCAGCAACCACAAAAGCAAATCAAAACGCAATACAATTAAACCTATATTTAAACAATAAAAACGAAGCCAAGTAAAACTTAAAAGCAGCCACAAACTCAATTGTAAAGCTATGCAAGAAAAAGTATAAGAAACTCAACTGATATTACATAATGTTAAAATGCATACCAAATCTATTTTTCTACATAAAAAAAATCACATAACATGCATATATATATATTCATACATAAAGAATCCTATATATATATATATACTTTGTATATAGTATATATAAAACTCATGTTTATGTTCATGTTGTGCGCAAAATGTAAAATGCAAAGTAAAAATTCAAACAAAATGTTGTTCATAACTGACACACACACACACACACGCACGCACTCACTCATGCACGGCAGTGTTGTGTAACAAATTCTGTAAATTTCAAATCAACATTTAAATTATTTTTTAACACATAAGTAGCGTATATTTAAGTGCAAAAACAAAAACCACCAACGAGACACCCGAGCCCAGTTTTCTAAATAATATTTTGAGCAGGCGCTGCCTCAGCGCCAGACAAAATTTATTTTTAACTTAATTTAATATTCTTAAAACTAAAAAAAAAAAAAAACGTTTACTGTATTATTTGGAAAAAAACTAACTGCTTACCAGACTATATAATAATTTAAAGCAATTACTTAAATACTATTTATGTATAAATATAGATTTATATGAACACATACACTTATATAATTTGTTCCTTTGCATGAAATAGACGAAGCCAGAAATACCTATTGGCAGCTATGCAACGTATTTCACTTAAAGAGTATTGTCCATAATAACTTATTTTCTATTTTTTTTTTATTGTTGTTCATATCTCTACCCTTAACAAACGCTACCCATCCACTCACACTTTCCTTAAATGTTGTATATTATTAAAAAACAAAAAACACACAAGTATATATATTATTTGCAATTTTGTTAAGCCATCCTGCATGCGTTAAAAATAAAACATTGATTACGATTAAACTTACGCCTAAGAATTGAAGCATAGCACTGACCTAAGTTGTTAATACTAAGCGCGGTACCCTAGTTAAGATTAAAGTATTTTTTCATAATCACAATGCAAAAGCGGAAAAACAAAAGCAAAAACGAAAAAAAAAAACAAGCAAAAACAAAAAACTAAAGTTATTGTTTAAGCCTAATGAACTATTACTGATGGAAGACAATGATACAGATTCAAAGCATATTTATTTTAAGATCACAACCAACAAACAAATAAGAAGAAGAGAAATATTAAAAAAAGTGAGCTACACTTTTTGTAAGATAATTATTTAGATTAAGTCGTAACGAATTAATGAAACTGCAAGTAAATAATTAAGCGAACATGAGTAGAATACACTATGTATAAAAAGTCTATGAATAATAATAACTATACATATATAAATATATATTTATTATAAACAAGAAAAATACAATTTTAAAAATTCAAAGCAAATAAAGAATTAAAATAAAAATTTAAAAATTAAAATTTTATGTTTTTAATGTGTCATTGGAATTTTTGAAAATTGAGATAAGGTAAAAATATACTTTTTAATGGTATGAATCTCAAATATCATAATGCTCAATTTAATTTAATTTTTTGATCGGAAAGCAATAAATTTATTTCTATAATAATTCCCTGCTTAGTACAGGATCTTAAATCAAATAATTTTCAGCTCAATATTTCCTCAAAATTCATTATTGTTTTAGAAAAACGATCCGATAACATTAAAGAGAAGTATTATCGATAAATTGGGACGATAGCAAGATAAGGCAACTCAATCAAGTTATCGATTGTTTTTTCCCTCAATTAAAACCGTTTCCGTCCAAACATGTTTTCAAAATACCAAAACAATTTTGTAAAACTATCTCTGTGTGTATACATATATTTCAATTGTGGTTCTTGTAACATTAACAAAAATTATAGCTAATTTTTGAAATTCACATAGTATGTATAATATATATAATTATATATCAACAATTTGGTTAAACAAGTGCGGCTAATCGCTGATGCGCGCATAAACAACGGCCGTACGGCAAGGCGTATAGACTTGAATGAAATTGGAGCGACCGGCATGACCCCAGGGATCGGATTGATGCTTGCAGTTCATGTCGATGCGATTGTGGCCGCCAAAGATGGGATCGTCCGAGGAGAGCACCGCCTGATAGGTGCCCGCCCAGTTGGTGCCGACACGATAGTCACTAAAACTTTGCGTTGGGTGGAAGTTGAACACAAACACGAGGCCGGCGCGCTCAAAATGAATGGTCTTGTCGCTCTGATGTTTCCAGCTCACATAAGCAGGACCCGAGTGCAGCCAACCGTAGCGTTCCTCCAGCTCATTCATGGCACGATCGAATTCGTTTAGGTATTTATACTTTAACAGATTGTCATCCACCAGATTCCACTGGCGACGCGCATAATGATAAGAGTCGTTGTTGCCCACGCGTGGAAAGTCCAGCCACTCGGGATGACCAAACTCATTGCCCATGAAATTGAGATACGCCTCGCCGCCCAAGGCGTGCGTAATGAGTCTTATCATCTTATGCAGCGCCAGGCCCCGATCAATAATTAGCGAAGGCTCGGATACTGTGGACATATGCGTGTACATCTCCTTGTCCATCAGCCAGAAGGCAATGGTCTTATCGCCGACGAGCGCCTGATCGTGCGACTCTGCATAGGCCACCGTGTTCTCCATCCAGCGTCGATTGGTCAGTGTGTGTACAATATTGCCAACGTCCCATTCATCGTCGCTTTGCTCCTTCAACAGCTCGATCCATTTGTCCGGTATGGCCATGCCCAGGCGATAATCGAAGCCAATGCCGCCCTCCGACACGGGACGACACAACGTGGGCATGCCAGAGACGTCCTGCAACAGAAGAAACCGATGTTGAAACTAGGAAACTATGTGAACTGAAATTCTAGATTTACCTCTGCTATAGTTATAACCTCGGGATCCAGCTTGTGCAGCATATAATTGGCCAGGCCCAGATAGTTGAGCGCATCCGTGTCCACATTAAGGCCAAAGTACTCGTTGTAGTCACCGCTGAAGCCCTCACCAATGCCGCGCGAATGATACAACATGGAGGTGACGCCATCAAAGCGATAGCCATCGAAATTATACTCGTCGTGCCACCAACGCAGATTAGACAGTAAAAAGCGGAGCACCTCGTGCTCCGTGTAGTTGAACAGACGGCTATCCCATAGCGAATGCTCTCCACGGGCGCCATCGTGGAAGAAACAGCTATTTGTGCCATCGAACTGGTTGAGGCCATCCTGCACATTCTTAGAGGCATGCGAATGCACTACATCGAGCAGCACATAGAGACCCTGGGCATGAGCCACATCGATCATGCGCTTCAGCTGTTCCGGATTTCCACAGCGACTGGATGCGGCATAGAAACTTGTCACCTGATAGCCAAAACTGGCGTAATAGGCATGCTCCATGATGGCCATCACCTGAATACAGTTGTAGCCCTGACGCTTAATGCGAGGCACAATGCGATCGGCGAACTCATCGTAGCTGCCCACGCGCGGCTCCTGCGAGGCAATGCCCACATGGCACTCGTAGATTCTCAACGACTTGGGCTTGGCGGGACGAGCGTTCTGCCGTTGATATCGCTCCCCCGCTGGCGGCTGCCACACATACTGCTTAAAGTTGACACCTTGATTTGCGCTCTTGGGTGGCTGTACCACATACTTGGCCCAGGGCGATAGGCGATCCAACAGTTGACCGGACTGATTGCGTATGATGATCTTTATCTCACTGAGATGCTTAATGGGCGCACTACCATCTGGATTAGCAGGCAAGTGCAGCTCCCACTTGCCAAAGGGCAGTTTCTTGAACGGATGCGATTCCCAGTGCCAGTTGTCTATGTGAATTTTAATTAGAAGCATAAGCAAAGAATTTAACTTGTTTAACTGTTAAAATATCGATTATTGCTATCGATAGTAAAACTTTGTAAATTTCAAGTTATATTTTATCGAGTATCGATATCTTAACAGCTTTTTAGTAGGGCGAATTTGTAAACAGGGCGAAACATGTTGTCAGCTCGCTTGCACATGCTTAGCTGAAGCTGCATCTGATCTTTCGAACGTTTCATCATATATTCAAATTGTATACTCACTGAAATCGCCAGTCAGATACACATCTCTTGCGCCCGGCGCCCATTCGCGTGCTATCACTGAATTATCCGGCTGAAAGTGTAGCCCATAGTATTTGTAGCCCTGCGAGAATTCTTCCATGCCGCCCTCGCATTGGTCGATCTTGGCAATCCACTCCTTCAGGACGCCATGTCTGCGCGAATATAAACAAAAAGAATAAAATTGCGGTAGTCAAGTTGAGAGCTCAAGGCCAGGGCCAACAGAAAGCGCGACGGCTGTTCCAAATGTTCTCACTGCATGTTGGCGGCGAACGCACCCAGCTGAAGCGAAGTAAATTGGATGACCTTCATGTGACATTGGTCAACGCAGTTTTTCCAACTGCACCTTAGGGGCGGCAGTACAAAAACAGTTGATATGATTATGCGGGGCATAAGCACTAGACGCTCGCTGCTTGCCTGCCCTGTTCCATACTTATCAGTCGGCGTTAACTACGGATTATATGATGCGCGCCGCACCATAAACCAAATGCACTCTGCGAATGTTTTTTGACTTACCGGCGGCGAATCTCACGCTCGAAGGGCTTCAGATAGCCGTCCATTTCTATCAGCTTATCAATGTCCTTAACCTCCACCTGCATCGCATCGGCCATGTTGCAAGCCGCTTAGAAATTTATACACCTAATAACACCTAAATAGAAAACAACTCGCGCACCCACCGGCGCTGCTTGCAAATTGACAACTGCGATGTACAGCGAGTGTGGGCCTCAATACAAAAGCTCTGACTGAGCTTTTTTTGCAGGCGTCGTTCATATGAAGCAACAGCTGTTGCTGCTGCTGCTGCTTCTTCATTGGTGTCTTTTGTTGTGCTTGTTCGCGCATATAAACAACATAGCAATTAGTTGCATTGCCTGCTGATAACAGTAATAGATGATAATGAGATAACGCGCACAGGCATGCATTCAGGCGATATGTATGTATGTATGTATGTATGCATATGTACTAATTGGAATCGATTGCGTTGATATTTTAGAGCTGGCGCCGGTGATTTTAAAGCATCTTTATTATGTAAAGGTTGAAAGGAATATTACAAATATGTATCAAAATTATCGTTGCCAAGTCATGCGTTTGTGTATGTATGTATATATGTACACATACATATTTGTATGCTCACAATGACCTTGTTCAATTGAACCCTTGCTCTGTATCATTTTTCAAATTAATCTACAATTTATTCTATTAGTAGAAAACTATAGCGCCGAGAGAAAGAGAGAGTTTTTTACGCACTCTTAATTGAATAACAATTTAGTTATTTTGTTAAGCTAAAGTATTAAAAATATGACATGTATTTCTGTATTTAACGATGTTTTGAATATATGTTTATGGAAGATCTATATGATGAATAACAATTTCAAAATATTTATATCCTTGTTTTATTTAATTTATTATAATATTCATTAAATTTAAAAAATAAATTTTTACCATTTTGCTTTCGATATACAAGAAAAAACTATCGAATATATACCAAAAGAATGGTCACACTCATTACACTTTTACAAAAAAGGAAAAAACTGCATGCTGACCACAATCAGCTGTTGTGGGTAGCGGCCATTTGCAGTCTGTTTTAGCGTCGCGGGTGTGCAGGAACGCGCTTCGTTTTTACGTTTAGTTTTTAGGTTTAGCGCGTTTTACTTAATGCCGGTGTCGCCCAATATAAGCAAGACACTGCATTAGGCAACGGTGAGTGTTCGCGACAGTAAACTTTTGAATTGTGAAGAGTTAGTAAAATGTGTTATACTGCTCAGGCATTTTGTATATTTCTATACGTTTAACAAACGTACACAGACGTAAAAGGATAAAATGGGTCGCAGCCGCAGTCCCGCTTCGCCCGCACACAGACGAAGGGAAAAGGAGCGCACAGAGCGCAAAAAAAGACGCGAACGACGCTCAAGAGAAAGAGAAGCCAATGTCATTGGGAGCAGCAGCAGCAGTCGCCGTGACCGGGAACGTGATCGTGAGCGTGATAGAAGCCGCAGCCGTGACAGGGAACGTGCGCGGGGCAGGCGTTCGAGGTGAATAAGCAAGTGTAGTGTACCAAACCACAACGATAAGTATAAAGTACTAACGTTTTTTTATACCCATTAATTATGTATGTTACATATATATCTAGTAATAACTAAAGCACAAAGCGTGGCCATTTAAACTGCTGAACTAGTTCAGCTGAACGGCCAGCACCGTGGCAATTTCCCTGCTACAATGCAACCCTATTTGTGTGTGTGTGTGCGTGTGTGCTTTTGACAGTTCCCTCAAGCTCATTCGTTCTTTCGACAGCCGCCTGCAAATTACCACGTGAAGCGAAATACGTGAATTTCACGACAAAAATTAAAGTACACTACTAAATAGTTAAAAACAGCGAGCAGCTAGTGCCTGGCATTAGAAAGCAAACAGAGCTCGAAGCAAATCTAGTTTCCTTGTAACAGATAAAAACTTAAGAATAAACTAAATTAGACACAAAATGGCGCTACGCGTGCAATTTGAGAACAATGACGATATTGGCGTCTTCAGTAAATTAACAAACACATATTGCCTGGTGGCAATCGGCGGCTCCGAGACCTTCTACAGTGCCTACGAAGCCGAGTTGGCCGAAACCATACCGGTGGTGCATGCCAACATTGGCGGCTGCCGCATCATTGGCCGCCTTACGGTCGGCAATCGGAATGGATTGCTGGTGCCGCATTCCACCACAGACGAGGAGCTGCAGCATTTGCGCAACAGCCTGCCGGATGCGGTTAAAATCCAGCGTGTCGAGGAGCGTTTGTCTGCGCTGGGCAATGTGGTTGCCTGCAACGATTATGTGGCACTGGTGCATCCCGATTTGGACAGGGAAACCGAAGAAATAATCACGGACGTACTGAATGTGGAAGTCTTCCGTCAGACCATTGCCGACAATACGCTGGTCGGCTCCTACACAGTGCTGAGCAATCAGGGCGGCATGGTGCATCCCAAGACCAGCATACAGGACCAGGACGAGCTGTCGTCGCTGCTGCAAGTGCCGCTCGTTGCCGGCACCGTCAATCGTGGCAGCGAAGTGCTGGCTGCCGGCATGGTCGTTAACGATTGGATCTCGTTTGTCGGCATGAATACAACGGCCACCGAGATTTCCGTTATCGAGAGCGTCTTCAAATTGAATCAAGCACAGCCGGCCACGGTTACAACAAAGCTGCGTGCAGCACTCATCGAGGAGATGTCCTAAGCAAACGGCTTCTACTAATTGTTAAGCAAGCACACACACACAAGCACACACACTTTGTTATCTTTTGTAAACAGTCCGCCAAAATACATACGAAACAACCACAAACAATTTGGAACGAAACGGTTTTATATAACATTGTTGTCCATCCGCCCAGTGAAAGGTGTCACGTTTCATAATTAAATTCTCAAATTACTGCTGTTTAATATATATATTCATACATATATATGTACAAATGACCCTGCCCCAGTTTGCCCAAGTGAATTTATTTCCATTCTTTATTTAAATTGCATTCAAATTCCAGTTCATTAAGTAGCCGCCGCTGTCTCGCATATTCTTTTACAGATCCCGCTCGCGTGGTACCGGCAGCAGTTCGGGTCCATCCACATCGAGACGCGCCACACGCAACAATTCGGCGAGTGCAGCTGCAGCTGCAGAGCGTCCAAAGATCAATGAAGCTGATCTGGAGGGTAAATCGCCGGAAGAGGTTGAGATGCTCAAGACAATGGGCTTCTGCACTTTTGACACCACCAAGAACAAGAAAGTCGAGGGCAACGATGTTGGTGAAGTGCATGTGATCCTCAAGCGCAAGTATCGCCAGTACATGAATCGCAAGGGTGGCTTCAATCGGCCGCTCGATTTTGTCGCATAGCCGGCGGCAACTAGTTTTTTTTATAAATGCTACTGCTACATTTTTTCACGTTCTTTGCGCGTCGCATTATGCGACGTCAAAGCGACGGACCTGCAATTTTATGCAATAGACCGGTTTACAAAATTTCACAAATTTGCCAGACAAAATTTCCACAATCACCACAGAACTCAACACACACACACACACATACAAATACCTCATATATAACAAGCTAGTTATTTAGTAATTTAAGACATTTGCGTTGTTTTAAAATTAGCTTTTGCCCGCCTCGAAACACAAACAAAAGTTAATTTTACAACAATGGCAACGCCAACACCACCCTCCCACGAATGTAATTGAAAGCTCAATGCAAAAAATGTACTAAATTTTCGCTGAGAATTTCCAGCGAGGTGGCAACACTTGTTGCTTGCTGACATTTGGAGTTTTTGGTAACATTTGAATAATATGTTTTTTTCTTCTGTTTCTTTGCTTTCAATTGCATTTGCCAATGTTTAATGCACACGATTAATGCTTTTTAAATATTTAAAGTAATTACAATTGTTTTTGTTGTCAGAAAATCACTTACACGCAATGCATAATAGTATATGTTGTGTAAGCATTTGGCGTTTGCAAAAACCACAAACACAAACATACGAATTAACTGCAAATCCAAAATTCACCATACTCGCACTCACACACGCACACACACACACACATACATAATTACTTAAAGTATTTGAAAACATGCACATACATACACAAACAAAATATCCCTACCCCCAAATATCCTTGCCCCACAAACTTCCTCCATACGCTGCAATAGTACAATTTTTACAACCAAAAAAAATATATATCAAATATATATTTTATATATAGAAAATTTATTTATACACACACACAAACACCAAGTACCTACAAACCCTATTGAATCCCTACCGTTAAATCGAACTCTACAATAGCCATAGCCATTTGTTGAAAATGTTATTTGTTTAACAATCAAAATGTTGTAATTTTTTTTAATACTCAACAAACCAACAGTTAATTCATGAATCACAAGTGCCAAGTGAAAAATAGCAACAACAAAGCAGGCAAATTAAACAAGTTAATGTTTAAGTGCAGACGCAAGTTAAATAAAAATATATACAACTTTTATACTTTTTTATATAAGAAATAACAATGTGTAAACAATAGTTATCAATTTGGCAACAGATAATATGAACTTTAAAACACAAACAAATTTGGCAAACTCACACACACACCCACACACACATATATATATATATTGTCTTTGTAGTTTTAAATAAAACGAAATTGCAGGGATTTTTTACTTACTTAAAGCTATTTAAATAAAACAAACTGAATACATCTAAATAAATGTATACAAAAATAAAAGAGTATGATTTGGTTAGTTTCGCTATTCACATTTAAGTTTTGAAAAAAACAAAAAAAAAACTGTAAACAAAGCCAACATCAAAATTAGAAGAAACGAAAAATCTGTCTTTTCATTTCAATATTCAACAGCAGCATAGACAGAACAGTCTCGAATTGTATAAAAAATAAAAAAAGAAAAGGGAATTGTTATATCAAAATTGAAGATTGGCCACAATGTATAGTTATGGCTTCATTTCGCGCGCCGTAACTGCTCAATTGCAGGGTACCCCATTGGCACCCTACGTGCCACACCGGCAGGTGAATGTGAGGAAACGTTCATTGTCTGTTGCGGATAGCTGTCGTCGTTATCTGCGCACCGACAAATCTCCGGAAAAGGATTTCGCGCGCAAATGCCAGAAGGCCTTCCATATGTGCAAGCACGACAACGACGGCGGCGGCTCCGATCTGGATGACAATCAGTTGCTCGAGTATAAAGAGAGCATGGCGCGCATCTCCTGTCTGAATCTCGATAGCACATTAGCGGATGAGCATCGATTGAAGGGCTGGCTGCCATCAAAAAAATGCAAAAAGTGAATGGTCAAAAGCGCCCCCTAATTATTTATAAATTTTTTTTTAATCCAAATTTGTTAAAAGTTATGTTTTAATTGGAAATTTTGTGTGCGTTTTCTTTTTTACTAATCCTCATCATATTGCATTTCATCATCCTTCGTATGTTCCACTTTAGATACTATCGAATCGTCCTTCTATATGTCGTATAAATGACACGCAATTACATTCATATATAATTTTATTTAAAGTATATTCATGGGTTGGTTTTACATAGAATTACACTTTTGTCAAATACACATTAAATCATTTTTGTTTTAACTCTTTAATGAATTGAATTCCTCCGCTCGTTGTATTCATTATAATTTTTGTTTTTTAAATTTCAGCTCAAATGTTATTTGGTCGCTTTAATTAATTTAATTTCATTATTATTGTTTAATGCATCTTGATTGATCAAGAGATTTTCAATGCAATATTTGCATTTGTTTATTGATGAAAGACACATAAATTTCATTTGTAATACGCAAATTGAATACAGTTTGCAATTTTATTGAAGAAATTAAATTAAGTATAAAGGGAAATGAACACGAAAATATGTTAGCCATGAAATGAATGCTGAGCAAACGCTAAAGAATACGACTAAATATTTAGTTATTGTTACGTTTGTATAATTATGAAATACATGAGGTGCTAGGACGCGATTGCCATACTCGTAATTGCTGCTAAGAATCGAATCTATAGATATATAGGTGTGTAGGCGTACAAAAAACTGCTACAGCTTTAATTGGAAAACAATTTTCAAATGCGACAAATTTGCTTATATTGTGCGCGAAATTAAACAATTAAAAACAGGCTCGTAATACAATAGCAACAATTTGCAGAATCCTCTCCTCTATTGTTACAGTTTCTTTTCGTTTGTTTGCTTGTGTTTGTTTATTGTGTAATGTTAGGTTAGTCTTTTTTGTTGCCATCCTTCTCGTCGCTGAACCGCTCCACAGGTTAATCCGCCTTGCGTGGCTTGCGCTTGCGCACCTGCTCTGTGCTGGGTTTATCTGATAGTTCGGGCACCTCATCGCCAGCTGAGCTTGTAGTTTCTATTTTGTCAGCTTTATTTTCTGTCGACTTGTCCTCCAATTTATCGCCATTTCCTTGCTTGATTTGCTCTGCATCCACTTCAGCTGCTTCATCCTCCTCATCTTCGTCGGCTTCCTCGCTGTTTTTTTCCTCGTCATCGCCACCTTCCTCTTCATCGTCTTCAATATCCTCGGTGGCCAAGTCCTCAACGCCCTCGGCTAGATGCTCCTGCGATTCGGAGAAGCTTTGACGCTGCGATTTCTTTGGCGGATAAACAAAGTCCACGATGCATACGAGCATCAAGCCAAGGGCGGCGCCCACAAAAATTGTGGCAATGGCAAACAGAGCATAAGAGCCCCAGGTGGGCAGACCATATTCCTCCTGCAGGCGCGCGTTGAAGTCCTTAAAGAGTTTTTGTGTATGCTATTAGTATATACAACATACACATACACGTACATAGACATATTATACAAAAGCGTGAGTTTGTGCGAAAGCTTAAAATGCGCCGACTGTGCCGGCTTAACCCCAGACAAATGAGAATGACACCAGTGTGCCAGCATGAGGCATAGACAATATAACCTCTTGGCCCAATCGCGCCAGATAAGCTTCCGCATACGTGCATTGAACTGAGCTACGACATAACCGACCGATGCAGACGTAAACAAGTGATTGCATGGGCAGCAGGTTGACGTACCTTCAATGTATGCGACAGCTTGAAGAAGTATGATAGCAGGGACATGTGTATGGTGTCGGGCTTTTTCCACGAGGACAACGGCTCAATGCTCTGCCAGGACTTCTTCTTGAGGAAGTACAACAGAGCATCGGCATCACGTGCGCCACGATATTGCCGGAATTCGCCATCCTTGACGCTGAAATAACGAGAGCATTGTAAAGAGAATGTCTTATTTTTATATCCTGTTAACGAGGCTTACTGATAGATCGTGGGCAAGGCGGTGACAAAGAAGCGTCCGCTCAGCGATGGCGATGTGGTTACATCGATCTTGGCCACATGCACTTTAACATCTTTAGCTGTGCTAGCATAGCGTTCCCAAACAGGTGCCAGATTTTTGCAGGCTGGGCACCAAGGAGCAAAACTGTAAATACGATATATGAATTATATATTTGATATTGATTTGATGATATTTTCATATAATTTATGTAGGAAAGAGTTCAATTTCGTATAAATGATGCCCACAGCAAAAGGGCTCTATACCAGGACTGCAAAAGGCTCGAATCAACAGAGACAGTCTGTCTTTGAATTCGATTTGTGAGCCCTCATTGCAATTTCAAAATTTCGTCAATATTTTAGTGTAGAAGTTGCGGTCTAAGCTTGGTCTCTAATCAAAATTGGCAAGTATCGAACATGATTAGATAGATTCAATTGTTGGCGCCCAAGTTATTTATGACTCGCACCTAAGTCTCAAATAGTCAGAAGTTGTTATCGTAAACCAAAAACGGAAGCAGATGCGGTACGGTTTGGGCATATTGGTAACAAGCCTTGGCAAGGACATAACAAATACGATATATTCATTAGCCCTATTAAGGTGCTACCATCTTCTGATTTCTTTAACACGTTACGAAAATTTGGTTATGTTGGGTTAATTTTAATTGTTTGTTTAATATTTTGTATAATTTTTTTTTGGTTAAACAGCTGTAAAGACACAGCTGCCGGTCATGACTCAGGCGCAGGTGACGCAGCCAATCAGCAACGCGCAACGCACATCTAAGCGGAATGCAACATTCCGCAGAACCAGAAACAGCTCCAGCTTTATTGTTGTTGTTGATTTAGCAGTGTCTTCTTACCGGCTACACCCCACACAAACTGCGTCTGCGTTGACTTTTTCAATTGCGTTTTTGTTTTAAGTTTGTTTTTCACTCACAATTCAATCATCCATTCGCCATTTAGCATTAAATGCCAGTTATCCTCATCCAATTCGATTAGATTTCCATCTGGCTGCAAAACTTTTTTGGTCGCCGTCGACGAGCGGTCGGCAGCGGACTGTGCAGCGAGCAGCGTGACGATGACACATGACGCGGCCAAAATGGCTGGAGTACAATGCATTTTTGCAATGTGAACTGTATATTTTGGCTAAAACGTATTTAATTTCGGTTTTATTTAAGCTAAATTTTCACAATTATTTCCCTTTGTTTAAAACACTTTTTTCTATGTTTAAACGTAGAAATTGCGGACGCTGGGCTGTCCGGTCCGACACAGTAGAGATGTGTAAGTATGCAAACTGACATTAGAGATGTGTGCGTCTTTTTGAACTTTCGATATTTGGAATTTGTATACCAGAGGCTGTTAACCCACTGTTGTATTCATCGCAAGCTGGGTAACTGGTAGCTGGGTATCGATATTTATTGGGTAACGATTGCTATCCGATTAGAAAGACGAATAAAAACAAAGAAAAATCTTACTAATATCAAATTGGACACAACACAACACAACAAAATTAAACTATTGAAATTGTTCTAAAACTTGCGCAGATCGGTTTAAAGCGGGCCAAAATGGCCAATAATTATCTGCAGCCAGTGAATAATCATTTTGATATAGATAAATTTGAGGACGTAGACGATGACTTGTTTTTGAGAAACACGCGAACGGCTGCCAACAACAGGGCACAGCGCAGTACGAATCCATTTGAAGATGATGACGAGGTATCCACATCTTCGTCAATAGCAGCGCAAAGGCAGGCCTACGCGGAGAAACGTAGAGAAATTGAGCAGCGCACGCTAGAATCAACACAAAAAAGTTTGGGTATGTTCCATTAAAAATATTTCATTTTGGAGGGCGTTACCAATCCGAATGAGAATTTACCCAACAGGTCTGCTCTACGAAGCGGAAGATGCGGGCAAAGCAACGGCAGTGGAGTTGGCCAGGCAACGGGAACAACTGGAGAAGACCTCAAATCAATTGGATGAAATAAACTCCACCCTGCGTTTCAGCCAGCGTCATTTAAATGGATTGAAAAGTGTTTTTGGCGGCCTAAAGAACTACTTGTCTGGCAATCGTGATGTTCCCACGGCTGCTGCCTCGCCCGCTGGCAGTCAAATGTCACAGGAGACCAACTACAATGCCAATGCGACGGGAGGTGGCGCAATACCAAAGCAGCCCATGTCACCAACAGAACGCTATGATAATCATCCGGTTAGTCGTATGCGCGACGATACCAGTTCCTACAATGAGCGCCAGGTCCAGGCCCAGCAGCGGGCCGCCAATCCCTTCCAGCACCAGTTGGAATCGAATCTCGATGAAATGTGTGACAATTTGTCACGGCTTAAATTCTTGGCTACCGATTTGGGAACGGAAATTGAGTCACAGAACGAATTGTTGGACAACATGAACTATAAGATCGAAAGCGTAGACATAAATCTGACCAAGCAGAATAAGGAAATTAATAAGCTGATGAAGAAGTGAACATAAAGTCATGGGGTTCGTTGTTTGATCATAAATTGTTTATTTTATAATTATAGGTTCAATAATCCCACATAAACTTATATATATGTATGTATATTAATCATATCGTCTAATGAAGAGCACGAAAGAAATCTGTGTTTGCCCGCCATCATAAAGCATTCCTTGCTTTCTTTATTTTGTTCTTGTTATTTTGTATTATCTGCACCAAAAAGATATTTGTATGAGCTGCTACTTGTGAGTTATAAGTGTTCATTTTCAAAGAAATGTTTAAATAAAAATTAATTTTAGTGAGTATTTTTAATAAGCTATGTTGTCAATTTATGAACGCGTTACCTGCTTAATTTTGCTCAGACTCAACCTATGAGCTGCATACACGGCTTTAAGTGCGCAGTTTTACAGCACTGAGGTAATTCGATAACGGATCGCCAAAATACTTTATCGAAAGGCTTCTCAAAACGTTAGCCGGAATTTTCGTAGCTCCTTATTGCAAAGAAAATTTGCACTGTTTGCGTCTGTTTTAATAAAAGTCAGTAATTACTTTATTTCAAAGCTTAATATTGAAATGGAGGATCGTTATAATTCAAGTGCTCAATTGCTTAAGGAACCATTATCATTTGCGTATGTTGAGAAAAAAAAACTGTACGTGCATATTATATGTATTAATCCTTGGAAACCTTTTTATTTTTTAGTGACCTCATCGAAAATGGAGCCCACTTTGAGGTAGATACATCCAATTATAATAATGACTGCTATGAGGATTTTAATGTGGATGATGAAGAGGATGTTGATGACGAGGAAATTGAAAACGACGCGCTCGTCTCACCCTGGACACGTTCCTTTGATGAGCTGCGCCAGCTAATGAAACCAATTGGTGAGCACATCTACAAGCGCATCACACGAGCGGGCGTCAAGGAGCAGGGCCTGGTGCCGGACAAGGCGCGTGTGGCATTGCGATACAGTGGCTACTGGGAGGGGCAGACCGCTCCATTTGATTCCTCGATGCTGCGAGGCACTAAATTCGAGTTCGAGACGGGTCAGCAGATGGTGCTGGAGGGTCTCGAGGCGGCCGTACGCACCATGTACCCCTACGAGCAGTCGGAGTTCATCATATCATACAAATTGCTATTCCTCGAGATGGGCTGTCCACCGCGCATTAAACCGCGTGCCGATGGTCTTTTTAAGATTGAGGTAATTGGATTCACATTGATTGGCGATGAGCATTCGCTGGAGCGGATCGCGCCCGAGGATCGTATCAAGTTTGCAGTGGTCTTTCCCAAGGCGCAGGATATGCATTTGCACGGCAAAGATTGTGTGAAGCGCGGCGCCTATCGCAACGCAGTTGCGGCCTTTGAGCGCGCAATTGCATCGCTCAACTATTGCCGCCTGGCGGATGAAAAGGATGAGCTCAAGCAGCAGGAGCTGCTTATTACGCTATATACCAATCTCATGGTATGCAACAACAAGCTGAACAAGCCGGCGAGCGCGTGCATTGCCATGAAGGCTCTGCGCCTGCTGACGCGTAATCAGCCTTCCTGCAAGGCGCTCTTCCAGGAGGGGCGCGCACTGGCCGCCCTCGGCGAATATGAGCGCGCACGCCAGGCTTTCGTGCAGGCCCAGGCCAAGCAGCCCAACAACAAGGAGATCAGCGAAGAGATCATCAACATGGAGCAGCGTGTCAGCAAATACAAAAAGTCCATGCGTGAGATTTGGTCACGTGCGCTCGCCGGCAAACAGCAACCGGAGAAGCGAGCCGACCTAAAAACTGATGAGGACCTAGCGAATCAGCAATTTCGCCGAGATTTCGAATTGCAATTGTCAGAGTTTGATAAGTCATCCTTGCAATCGATTAATATGAATCGCAAAATGTACACAGACAAGGAGTTCAATGTGCTGCGCCTGCTGGCCTCGAAGAACAACATGAAATTGAGTCTGTCGCCATTGGATGTGGATCAGCTAACGCTCTCGAAGCTGCAAATTAAATAGACGCTACGCAAATGTCAAAATATTGTTTAAGGAATGGGAAACTCAGGTATTTCTATGAACCCATTCAAGCCTTAATTATCCAAAATTAAGTTTGTTCTATGAATTTATTAGTTTAGAATATTGGAACTGACATTATTCGTGCCTTGTTCTTAACTTTGAGACCTGTTTTTGTTTTCATTATTGACCGTATCTTTTACGACAACTGAAACGGACGCCTTATTATTAAGCCTTATTAGGCTTATCTTTAACCAAAGATAGAGAGATGACGGGAAAGACTTTGAAGTTTTATGATTTTGTTAAATGCAGCCTAATCTCATCTGCCTTCTAGCTATGCCTTGTGCCCCAAAATACTCGAATCTATTACATTATCTTCACTATAACTTGAATATTTAGCGTTTTGTTTCTTAGTTAAATTTTTTTTATTGTTCGCGTTTTAGCTGCAGCTCCTTGGCAACCTGCCGCTGCAGACAGCCGAGGCAAACGCAGCCCTTGACATGCGGCAGCGGATGATCCAGAACATGCACTTCCTGTAGCTCAAAGGAGTTGGAGTTGTAGGCCGTCATGTTATCCGCCTGCTGGCACTTGCAATATAAACAACAGCAAATGATGCAACCTGCAAAGAGCGTAGTTATCAAGTATATAAATTGCTATAATGTCGGATCCTCTATCCTGCACCTACCTATGCATGCTACCCACAGCGCCAGCAGAAGATACGGGTAGATATAGGTGGGCACAATGAGCGTAGTCTCAAAATCTTCTTTGCTATCACCCGGGTCCACTGAGTCACTGCGCCTGCTGCTGCTGCTGCCGTTTCCCACATAGATATCCAGAATCGAATCGACTAGCGCTTGCGAATAGTGGCCCACATCTGCAATGTCAGCACGCACAGGATGCGCGCCCTGGCTCAGTACGAGCGCCAAAATAAGCCGCATAGTTAATTGAATGTACATTTCTAATGTAAATGGAACAACTGTCGCCGTGCGAATGCGGTTGAGTTGACAACCTACCGCCAAAAGTAGCTTTAAAGCAGTGCTGGCAAAGATATATATGTGAGTATGCGTGTGCTTGCACGTGTATTAGTGCAGGCTTGTCTTAAAAGCTTAACGCTCTGTTCTGCACTTGCAAAGCGACAGCGTCTGTGAGCTGTGTGCGTGAGCGCCTGCCTGCAATTACAACAGGCTTGGTCGATAAGCAAACAGTTGTGCGTTTGCGAGTTTTGTAGCTGTGTGTAATATGAGGAAAAAATATGTTTTTGTTACTGCAATATTCGGGCAGAGGCTTCTGAATTTATTTGTTAATCATGAACAAGAACAATGTGTATTGTAGCTTGTAGCTTGTCAGCTGCTCATTTGTCTTGCAGATTACGCAAATATGTATCTGGTGCATTTTGCACGACCAAAATAGTTATTTTACCATCGGGTGTAATGATAACCTCATGCATTCTGGTGCGTACGCGCAACATGCATAGATTTTGTGGCGGCTCCATTCTTTGTAGAAATGCCTGAGTCTTTTCACGCAAATTGTCATAGAGACAGGCATGGTGCAGTGCTTCCTGGCGTGCCATTGAAGTCTTGACGGGCACACCTGAACGATTCATTATGAGCACCTCCTCAACTCCAGGCTTCTCAAGCACCAAGCGATAGGCTTCATCCACATAGCGCTGGGTACGCTTTGGCTAGACAAAAAGCGTTGTAAAAGGAAAAATAATGTATGTATGAGAAAATACCTCAACTTCCCCGGCTTGCATTTTGCTAAAACTATTCGTGTGGCTTCTGCTCTACAAATGTTTTGTCAAGGCTTAAAAACATAGACTGCTATGTTTATAACGATTTTATTACAATGACATACATGAAATGCAATCTAGTATTCTTATTAATATTTAGTCGACACAGACGGCATCCACGGAGGTCGTACACCATTTATAATCATTTACTAAATTGTCAGCGACCAGAAACATTATCAACGGAAAGGCCAGGTACAGTTGGGAGAGTAATATGAAAGCCATAATCCAGCACGTTTAGTATTAAGTCGATTTTCATTGTTTTATATTGTTTTATACAAGCCATAATTCGTTACACAGCCAAGCATTCACGCTGTTAAGCATATTTAATTTATCATGCATTTAAATTTGTAACGCTCGCTGCAAGCAGTTTAGAATAAGCGTTTAATTCAGAGTCAGCCGAAGCAGACTAGAATATACGGTCTCTTCTAGATAAGCAGTGTACTTTGAAAGCAGTTCAAACAAAGCTGTGTGTATACACGCTCTCTTAATAATGCTCTCAATTTCTGCTCTCTTGATGACTAAGCACCTTTTAACAAAACTAAATTTAGACGATGAATAGAACGATGCGCTCGTGGCGTCACTCGCTGACGTTCCCTTTATTACATTTTTCGGGCTGCGTTCGCGGGTTCAACACCTATCGCGGTTGACTAAATAAAATAGAGTTATCTACGAATTTTTATAACGAGCCGCTCTCTTTGGCCGGATTAATTCAATTATAATTAATGCCGATTATGCAAGAGTAGGCAGATTAAATTTGGTGGGAATTACGCCTTCGGTGCCCATAACGGTTATCAAATCCGTGGGAAAACGATCATCCTTGTTTCCCTCCACAATTTACATTTTTTTTTTATCCCAATATTTCTTCTTTTTTTTTTAATATTGAATTTTGTTTTTGATATTTTCAAAAATGTTTGTTTTTTTTTTTTGTTGTTAAAACCCATATATATTTATTCATATTATCTAATAATACAATAATTTTTCTCTTATGTTATTGTAACATAGCTTTAGTTTATTTGGTTTTGTTGGCCTCTTTGGAATATAATCATTTTGTCAATTTTACATTCACATGCATATTGCGTGCATTCTGGGCAATTACACAAGAACAGTAAAGAATTATTAAGGGCTGCCTTTTCCCAATGTTCGCTTCAAGTTAATAACAATATATTCTTGAGTTTGAAGCTCATGTTTTAGAAGATGAATTATGAAATATATAAATCTTGAGCGAACAATGAGAATAGCTCCTAAGTATTGTTTGTTTTGGTTTAGTTTATAGTACATACAAAATAATTGTAGAGTTTTTTTTTTTTTCTTTGCAACATTTAAAGTTGTGAACGTTTTTTGTTATAAAGTTAGTTTAGTCAACATTTTTATTTTGTATTTTACTTTTGCCCCATGCCTATAACTCGAGTTAATAATTTCTTTATTCGACCAAGGAAATGTCAAACTTTAAAGTTGAAAAAAAAGGTATTGAAATATAAGCAACATTTTCAGCTTAGGTATAGGGCATTAGCTAGTCGACTAACTCCGACCTGCACATAAAATAACTTAATATAATTCCATATAAGTTTAACTTATTTTATATAATTAATACATCAATTCTATTCTGCGGCATATATATCAGATATTATTATATATTTATGTTATTTCTTATTACATTCAATTGCCATTCTTTTTATATATGTAGTTGCATTTCAATGAGTTCTTACTGTACATCGAGCGTACTGTACATTAGAAAGGTGGGTGGAGTTTTTCAAGATTACAGTTTCCATCGTATAACTATTTTTACTTTGCTTAATGTAGCGATATGAATTTTGCAATATTTCTCTCTTTTAACTTAATACCTTTCGTGCTCTCTCGCAGCGCAAAGTTTCCTATTAAATTTTGAAGCTCCTGTGTTTTATTTTTCTTAATTTTTGTTTGCGGCATGGATAGATTTTGCTTTTGTTTTGTATTTTTTTAAAGTAAACATTCTTAGAGGCTAGGTTCAATCCTAAAATTGAGCATATGCATAACACTGATTCTCGTCGGAATTGACAGCTTTGATAGATAGACTTTAGTTAAGGGTAACTAAATTTGTTTGATTTTTTTGCAAATTGCTTTTGATTTGCTTATCTGAAATATATTTAGCTCATTTTCTATATATACACCACATTATATATGTATTTTTTTTATTTTTGTGTATTTGCAATTGCATTTTGATCATATACAACATATTTTCAGTTTTTTTAACAGCCATTTAACATTTCCATATTTAGATTATTGTTGATAACTTTTTTTTGTTAGGTTTTTCTTTTTTGTATCTTTTCAGTTTTACAGGTACACATACATCCACATCAACTAACGGCATGCAAAAATTGGTTAATCATTTAACAGTTAATATATTATTTGTTTTTTTTTTTTTTTTTTTTTATATACCATATATAACTTCTAGGTACAATTAGTATATTGATTCGTAATATTATGTCACAGCTACTGCGCTAAAAACAACGACAACTGAAGAACAACAATTGATTAAAATTCCTGTTTTGGTAATTTTCTTACATGCTCATATATCGTATATAACATATAAATATTTTAATTAATTCCTATATTTCGACAATGCATGACATTCATTTCAAAAAATTAAAAAAAAAATGTAATTAAAAAATCTTCAAATGTCTTTAAATCAGTTATCACAAATTATGGGGTTTGCTTTATGTAAAATCATTTTTGGTTTCATTTTAATTCTTTTTGTTAACTAAGTAAAAGTTGAAAGAAAGTTAAAATTGTTTTGATTGAGCATACAGAATACGTGTAATACTTTGCTATTAGATTTACATTTATTCTACCACTAGCTACATGTAGAAACACATACAAATATTTTATTTATATATTTTTAGGTATATTTTAATACAATCTTTACTCTTTGTTTTAGGCAACACACAGCTTATATGATCTTGTTTACTTTAAATAACATGTATATATATTATAAATAGTATATTTTGACAACAATACATATATACGTATAAATTATATAGTGTATTATTTTCCTTTAAGTTAATTATTGTTATGTGTTTTTTATGTGAGCTTAGGTTAGTTAGTGTATTTGTTATAGTTCAACTAAGTACTGCACATACACACAAACACACACATAAAACATGTCTAAATATTTACTTAAACTTAGATATTTTTCTCTGCCGTAAGATCCATTAGTTATATGCATCTTGAATAATCCACTCGAATCTTAATTTCATTTAGGTACATGAGTCTCTCTTTTATTTAGGCCTATCAAAATAGAGTTTTACACATACACATTTGACATTGAACGGTTTCATCTACACATATAATAATATTAACTTATTATATTTTCTCCTAAACATGCATAAAAAACTAAACGTAACGAAATAAAACTTTGTGTAAATTCTAAAATCCAACTTTTGCCTTGCCGTTTGCCCGTTGCCCAAATTGCAAGCTTTATAAAATGCATAAAAAATGTTTGAAAATATTCTTTAAACAACATTTGCAATAAAAATAAACATTATTTGTTGTTGTATATGTGTAGTAATTATGTTGTATATAGGGTATATTGTATATAAATTTAGGTTTTTTTTCTTTTTTTCTAAACAACTTCAACATTTCATTTGCCATTTTGCATTGCTCTCAAATTCGAACGTTTCGAACGTTTCTAATCGTAATCAATAGGTACCATATAGTTACATATATAATCGGGGCATATAAGTTATATGTATATATAATAATAATAACAATAATATAGACACTTTTTTCTATGCACAACAATCGAAACGGGCCCTTTTGGTGAATTACTAAAAACTACGTTAACTTTTTGGTAATTGCAATGAGTCTTTCAACATAATACTAAGATGAACATAGAGCATATACTTAAGAACTTAGTTAAGACGGAACAATTGAAAAATAGTTTTTGTGTGTAGGTATACGATCGGGGAATACTGCATATATTGGCATATATACATATGTATATGTAGTTAGTGTGTATTTCTAGGAAACATGTTTAAGCTTATTTTTGTCGTAATACCCTTGCAGTGCTTAATTCTATTAAGTTTGTATCCGTTTGTATGTATGAGCTTTAGTTGTCATCTATTCACTATTTTCAAGAATGAATTTAAAGTTTTGTTTTAAATTTTTTGTTGTTAAAACAATTGTTTCATCTCGAATCAAAAGAGTTTTAAATCATTACCTCTGCAAGTGTATTAAATATTCGGCAGTCCGAACATAGCAATATCTTCTGGTTCCCTTCAAGTTTGCTTTCAGGATTTTAATTTGTTTTTGGCAAATGTTCAAAGTTCACGGGGAACTGTTAAAATTCTCGAAAATGTTGCAACTTGCTTCGTTCAAATCTGTTGCTGCTCGCTGACCAAGTAAAAGTAATCCAAATAAATATTTATAAAATCTGCATCTATATAAACAACTAGGTATATGACATTTACTTATATATATGTATATAGTACTTGTTAGGCTTAACAGCATGTTTTTTTGCTTAGCTCGAGTTCATTAACATTAAATATATATACTTAGAAAAATAGTGTTCGATATTGGAAATACCTTTTATATCGGCTCTTGAGACTTGCCTTCATTTTACTTCTTTGCTGTTGCAGCTGCTTTCGTCTTGCTTGATGTTGCCGCCGCTTTGCTTGTTGTTGCTGTAGTTGTTGTTGTCGATGTTGTTGTTGTTATCATCGGTTTGTTTGCTATCTTAGTGGGGCTAGTTGTGGCTGTTGGCTTGCTTGTTGCTGCTTTGGTTATCTTTGGCGACATGTTGCTGTTTGTTGTTGTTGTTGGTTTGTTTGCTTGTGTCTTGAAAGATGCTGGTGTTGAAGAGAATGTTGTGGGCCTTTTTGTCGGCGATGTTGCTGTGGGCTTTGCTGTGGCTGTTGGTGTTGTTGCAGGCTTTGATGTTGCTGAGTATGTTGTTGCCTTTTTTGTCGGTGATGTTGCTATGGGCTTAGCTATTGCTGTTGATGTTATTGCAGGCTTTGATGTTGCTGTTGATGAGAATGTTGCTGCCTTTTTTGTTGGTGATGTTGCTGTGGGCTTTGCTGCGGCTGTTGGTGTTGCTGGCTTTGATGTTGCTGGTGTGCTTGCTGTGGGCTTTATTGGTGTTGTTGCTTCTGTTGCTGCTGCTGCTGCTGCTGCTGGGGCTATAACCACAGCATGAGCAGCAATTACTGATGTCTTCTGAGTTGGTGTGGTTGCCTTGGAATCAGTTGCTGCTACAGCTGCTGGCTTTGCAGTCGCATCTTTTTGATTTGCACCTGGTATTTTGCTGCTTAAAACTGCAGTGGTTGAGTTAGCAACAATTGTTGTTGCAGGTGCTGACTTTGCATTTTCAACTGTGTTGCCGGCAATAATCGTGGTAGCTGTGTTGACTACAATTGACTTTGCTGCAGCACTTGCAGTTGCTGCTGCTGGCTTTGGCATATTGCTTGCAACAGTTGCAGTTGTTGTTGCATATATTGCTGCTGTCTTAGGCATATTGCTTGCAACAGTTGCAGTTGTTGCTACTGGCTTTGGCGTATTGCTTGCAACAGTTGCAGTAGTTGTTGCTGTCTTCGGCATATTGCTTGCAGCAGTTGCAGTTGTTGCTGTTGGCTTTGGCATATTACCTGCAACAGTTGCAGTTGTCACTGTTGTTATTGCTGCTGTCTTTGGTATATTGCTTGCAACAGTTGCAGCTGATTTCGCTGTGGTTGCTGCTGGCTTTGTTGCATTGCTAACCACATTTGTTGCCACAACGGTTACTGCTGCCATTGCTGGAGGTTTTGTAGCAACACTTACGTTTGTTGTTGTTCCGCCAGCAACTGTTGTAGCTGAATTGGCAGCAACACTTGCAACTGGCTTTGAGATTGTTGTAATAATTTTTAATGACCTCATTGGCGACTTGTTGGTGGCTGTTATTGATGTTGCTGCTGTGAGTGCTGCAACTGTTGTTGCTGTCTTCGCTGTTTTATTGCCGACACATATGTTTGGCTGTGCTTTTGTCGACACGCTCATTGTAGATACTGTTTGGGATTTTGGATTTGCTGCAGCTATTGCTGTTGCAGCGACTTTGCCATTGATTGCTGTTGTGCTGACAGCACTCATATGCACATCTGTTGCAGCCGTTTTGCTGGTATTGGCTTGAGCAACAGCTGTTGTCATTGGCTTGGTGGCTGGCATAAAAGTCGTTAAAGCTATGTCTGGCTTCGTGCCAGCTGGCACCGCAGCAATATTGCTGCTAGTTGTTGCTATTTTCGCCTGGCTGCCGGCAACGGCAGCAGCTGTCGTCTTGGGCATAGCCAGCTCTGCAGCTACTCCAGCGCCAGCACCCCCCGTACCAACAGTTGGTTCTGCTGCTGTTGCCGTGAATGTGGACATGGTGTTGCACTCACGTCCGCTGCTCATGGTGCCTGTGGACAAGACCTTGGTGGTAGCTGCGACTGTTGCTGTTGCTGGTGTGCTCGCATGTTGCTGGTTTTGATTATCCGCTTTGATGGGCGGCTGCTGGCTGCTACTCGACTCTGGTTTGGGCTTGTGGCGCCCGTTTTCCGGTTGAGCCTGCTGCTGGTTGCTGTTGCCGCTGAGCTTGGCCGATGTCTTCAATATGCTCGGTCCTGGCAGCTTACCCACCGTCATGGGCAGTACATCCACGTCAACGCTGGCCATCGCCGACGAGGATGCGTTCACTCGCTCTCAGAGTTGCATTGCCTCGTCCCGATAGCCGTTGTTGCCGTTGCCATTGCCGTTGCCATTGCTGTCAGCCGCATTGCCATTGACCGCGTCCTCGTAGGGCATCACATCCGTGGGTGCCCCGCTAATCAGTATTTGGGTGTTGGTAACACCATCGTAATTTTGGCTCTGATAGCGTTCGGCATGCAAATTGACGCAGGGTCTGCCAGCAGGTCCCCATTCGGCGGTGGGTCGCATAAGAACCTTGATGCGTTCCCTAAAGCTCAGATGCTTTGGCGCCTTGAAGATCTGTTGCACGCCTATCACAAATATGATAAACACCGGCAATAGACCGACTATCCAGCCCACAGTATCCGCCCATAAGGGATATATGTAATGGCCATACTGTGCGGGCTTGTACTCTACCCAGTTGAAGAACAAAATAAACTGCAAGTGGAAAGTGGATTTCGTGCATGAAGGTTAGCTGGGCTGGCTAAGATATTTGACCATGAAGGATATAGTAATATTCAGAGAGCACAGAAATAACATTACAATGCATAAAATTTTCATCTTCGGAGCTAAATTTCAAAGAAACAGAACTAAGTTTCGTTTGAAAGCACTTCAAATGACCATGGAGGATAAATGAAAAATATTTAAAGAATAAGAAGCAGGACACAACTTACCAATAGCGTCGCGGGTGTTATATAGCGCCACATAAAGCCCCAGAAAAAATTCCACAGACGCGAACGCTTGCCAATCATGCCCTGTATATCATTTAGAAAACGTTGTGATCCGTAAATCCAGGCAATCAGCACACACTCCGATATGGCAATGAGCAGCACCGACCAATTGGCGGCATATTTATCCATCAGTTGCAGCCAGTACATGCCGCTCTAATTGGATTAGGCTTAAGTACATAAATATAGATATATATTTACGATATACTCACATTGGTGGTAAAGCCAAGTCCGCCCACATAGCCAAATATGCCCACGAAGAGTACAACCCATGTTTTGTATTGTCGCAGATTTGGAAACTTGTCCAAAATGGCAGTAGTTACGGTCTCCATCAGAGCGAACTGCGAGTCCAGGCCCAGGGTGAGCAGCATGACAAAGAACAGCACCGACCAAACCGGTGAGATGGGCAGACGTGTCACCACCTCCGGATAGACAATGAACGCTAAGCCGGCGCCTTGATCCACAACCTTTTTTACCTCCACATCCAGTTCGTGCGCCAGAAAACCAATGATGGAAAATATGACCAGGCCCGCAAAGAACGACGTGGCTATGTTGCAAAAGGCCACAATGAGAGAGTCCCTGAAAGATGCGCAAATTTAGGATATGGACAGAAGATCAATATACAGTTGTATAGCTGATATAGACCGGTTTTTGGTCGGGTCTAATTCGCTTATTTTATAAAGGAATCGTCATATAAAAAGCCAAAAAAGTGTCATTTCAATGTTTTCACCCAATTTTCACCCTTGTCAGTGAAATTGTCTGCGTGTTGGAAAATCAAACTGAGCGAGAAAATAATGAGAAACTGAACAAGATGAGTTACGTTAGTTAATCAGGAATAAAAAAATAAATAAAGACAGTTATATGTATATAAATTTGGAGATTATGTTAGGTGGTCATTCAGATAATTATTGGGTTGAACATGATGCAGAAGCAAAGGTGTTGATTGTATAGGTGTGTATGATATTTACTTGTAGCAGTTATTGGAGAACTTGTTGTATGAGGACAAGGTGATGAGGCCTCCCCAGGCGGGGCTTAACGCAAAGAAGATCTGCACAGCGGCATCTCCCCAGACCTGTAATAAAATAAATAGTTGAATCAACTGAAAATGGATAAGTTTTCTAAGGATGACTCACTTGAGCGTTGGCTAGTTGCTTCCAATCGGGCGTTAGATAAAACAAAATGCCCGTACTGGCGCCCGGCAGGGTAACGCCCCGAAAGAAGAGTATGACTAAGACCAAATAGGGAAACAAGGCGGTAAAGTAGACGACCTTGCCCGAGGACTGAACGCCCTTGCACAGGCAGAGAAAGACAATGACCCAGGCGATGAGCAGGCAGGCGGCCAATGAAAATTTAATGCTGCCCGTTTCCTCAATGCCTGACGACAGGCCCAGCACATAGTTGCTGTAAATGGGAAGAGAGGCGATTAAGGATTTGGAATCAATCAACATTTGTACACCATATTTAATCCACCCACTTAAAGTACTCCTCGGCCGGTGGACGCTTGAGGGCGTGCAGCGCCAGTTCGGTTATGTTGTGATCCTCCGCATAGGTCGCATTGTAGCAGGTGCGCAGATAGTAGGTGCCATTGATGGCCTCGCACTGATCCGCCATCACGTAGGAGAAGCAATCTGCAAGTGTCATCAACTAGTTAGCAAGTTGTGCAAAGCAAGTGGAAAGTGCCCGACTAGAAGTTATCCTAGACCCAACGCAGAGCTGCCCTTAAAAGTATGCTACAAACATTTATTCTTCTATGCATATCTATACACACACAAGCACAGATGCACACTTTATGCTAAGTCTGTGCTTATTCTTAGCTTCACTATAAGGTAGACGTTTTTGAAAAACTTCGGTATTTATTGTACGATTTTTATGAAATTTTCAGGGCATTAATATGGCTGTCAAATGTGTGTAAAGACCAAAGTCCAATTTAGAGCTGGCATCCGAAAAGTTAATAATTCTGTATGTGTGTATACCATACGAGATCCTACCTACAAAATGTTGTGTCTCTAGCTTTTAGAAGCTCTAAACTATGAGAATAATGACTCGACTCGGATCTTGTTGCTGAGCAGGAGCATACCTTATGGATTGGGTCCTTCTGCTTATTACATACATTTTCACAAACCCAATATGCCCTTTTTAATGACATTCATTGAGCTTAGAGTATGAAAAAGGACACTAGTCAAACAATTCAAGTCGACAGTTACTCAATTATGCATAAAGGGGCAACAATTTTTTTTAATATTTACGAACTATTTGTCAGACCAGAGAGAGTAAGAATAAGAGGGAGATAAAGCGAGAGAGAGAGAGGGAGGGAGATAGGTAGAAAGGGATGGAAAGATAGACAAGGAAATGGCAGCGCTGAAAAGGGACTCGAATGTGTGCGAAAGGACAACAAAGCACGAGCCGGGCAACTTTTGTGCGGATTCATAATTAAAAGGACAAAGTAGCAAATCAGTGGAAAACATGAAAAGGGTTGGGCGACAACTGCTGCTGTTGTTGTTGTTGTTGTTGTTGTTGTTGTTGTTGCTGCTGTTGGCAGCGAGCAACCAGAAAGCAGAATGTGTCAAACAGTTGGAGTATGCGACTTGGAGATATCCTGTATGGAAGCAATATATAAGTTGTTCGATTCGAAAGGGTCCTGTTGTTTAATTGCTTTTAATGTAGAAAGCATCTTTTTAAATACCCGACTTTGAAATACGCTACATATATAGACTCAGAAAACAGCATTCTTGAAGCTTTGCTGCCTTTATAAATGTTTTTGAATCTAGACAAAAATGGGCACTAGAAAATGCTATTAACGCGTTAACTTTATATATATTCCGTATGAGCCTATGCCGAAACATAATGCACGTCATAGCTGTTGAGACTTTGAAATACCCTGTAACAAACTAACTAATCCAAGACTGCGCAAAATATTAATTTTATGGTGCTAAATAGTTTTAAGACTGCGCAAATTATGCATTTCTTTGTATTAGACAGCGCCCCTAAGTTTTCTAAATACGGGGTATTTAAAAGGGTTAAATTGTCTGAAGGGCTGTCAGCCCCTATGACAGCAGGAGCAACGGGTTCCGTTTGTTGACCCAAGCCTGATTAAATTTGAAGAGCGTGCTTTATGGAGCTGAGGCCAAAGCAAATCGATGTTGGATATCGACAAAGAGGTTAAAGGTCAATAGAAACGCTGACACAGTTGATTAGAGGCAAGGCCATGGCATTCTATACAACATTTTTACTCTAACTTGTTTCTATTTCATGATCTTAATCAGAATTTGAATAAATGGCACTTGAATTAAAACTCAGATAAGCTTATGCGTCAAATCGCAGCTGCATAGCTCAAGGATTTGTCCAAGTTTATGAACCATTTTATTCAGCTTATGAGCTTGTGATCCAGGTCATTTCCGGCAAAGTTTAGTTGCATAATTTGCTAATGAAGCGCTGTTTACGAGCTGTCCACTCAGTCGTTAGCGCGAATTTGGCTGGAAAACGCGCTTTAAATGGCTTTCGGCAAAACCTGACTCTACCAATTTGTGGGCACCTTTTCCTACTGGGGGCACACCTAATCTAGCTGCCACAACGCGTGTGCAAGCCACCAAATGCTTATGACATTTGACTTGTGCCACTCTCGACGCCTGCCACACGGTGCGTATGAGCTGTGGCCATCAAAAAAAAGAATCTAAGCTCATGCTTATGAGCGGGTTGCATGTGTGCTGGCCTCGCTCTGTGTGTGTGTGTGTGTGTGTGTGTGCATGTAAATGCCAAAGTTTTTTGAGTCTTTCAAGCTGACTAACGAGGCTTGCGGTTGACCGCAAAAATGACTAACTGACTGCTGACTGTTTTTGGCTGCTTTGGTTGCTTTGGTTGCCAGGTTTAGAGCTCGCAATTGGACATTCTCTGTTTGCTGTTCAAATGAAAAGTGGCAGCAAATGCTGAGTCAAGTTGCATGCCACTTGCCCAGCGGTCCATTGGCTAATGGACTGTGCGCCTCGACCACTGTGATGAATTTTCCAGTTTGCCACTTTGTGAGGTTTACCAAAACAAAAAACCATTTTTTGCCCTTGCCATATTGTGAATATTGTATGGCATTTGATTTTAATAAACATTTCGTATTTCTCCGCAATTCGCAATCGAGTTTGAATTGACAGGTACAATTTGGCATGCAAATAATTTTCTAATTTGCCATGCGGCTCACATAGCTGCTAATAAAGAGAGCTACAGTCTCAATTTTAGACAGCCACATTTACTGTCTGAAACTAGTCGGAATAGAATTAAGTTGGAGCGGGAAAGGGGTCGGCAAGTTGATTACGCTCAGCAATGTATTTAAAATTGTTATTACGTTTGAAATTAAGTTTTTCGCAATTGATTGGTAGCAAATTGTTGCCCCTTTTCAAAAGTCAGATTAAAAACCCTTTTCAAGCCATGCCAAAACGTTTTCATAGAGTTTGTTATTATATTTCTTAAGTTCAGGTATTTTCTAACTATCAACTTATAAATCTGAATTTAATTAGGTCACAAATAACTTTTATACTAACCAAGACACATATCTAAGTAATGCAAGGATCCTTTTGGATCAGATTTAAGCTATATACCATATCCTTCGATATAGAAACAAGAGATGCATCGAAAATTGAAAAGACAGGGTGTGTAGAGAAAGGAGAGAGTCGAAATCATCTGATTCTTTCACGCAACGCTTTGTTGTTGGAATATAATATTATTGGTTGGGAGATATTTGTCAGACATTTCATTAATTTTTATTTGTAAAAAAGTGCATCTAATAGATTCAGCGAATGTGTGCCTAGAGTTAAGAGGATGGTAGAGAAGCACCCCGACAGTCGGACAAGCTAGTTAAAGCATAGCTACAGGTGCCCCCTTCGAAATTCTCATATTCAAAGTGATTCATATTCTATGGGCCACTTGTATACTGCCGCTGCTCAGGAAACATACATATGTTACATAAGTGAATATGGAACTTACTTTTGAGAGGTTGAGCAAATAAGAATAGACTGCAGAACTCACAGATAATTGTGGTAATATCTAATCAGCCAACTTTTGCAGCTTGTCTAAGTATTCGATATCTTGAAAAAGCCTAAAAATGTTTAACTGTAGACAACAGCATATGATTTACGTGATATTGTATTTATTTATTTGCCTATGTACGCTGTGAATACACATTTATGTCATTTCTTTAAGTGTTCAATATGTAGCCCATCAATTTCGTCCTTGTCAGTTAGATGGCTAAGAATCTTGTTCAAAACTTGTACACTCAGAAATCGAATATTTCAATTTGTGTGGATGACGAAGAGCCAATTTTAGCTTAAATATGATGTGTGTTTTCATGTATATATCGCTGCACTACTCCATTCAAATTAATCAAAGAGCCCGACAAGCGCCAACCCAACTCAATCAGCGTTTATTCAATTGCCCCGCGTTACTCATACGCCGCATAGGTCGCCGGGGTCCCATCTGGGGTGCTCGGCTACGACTACACTAAAGCCAAGGTTATATACATATAAATATGGCCCTCTATAAGTGTGGGTTGTGTTGTTTTTTACAGCAAATTCATCATCTAATCAATCAGCAACAAAATGAAAATCAAATGAAAATTGAACACAATTTCTTGTGGTTGTTGCGGGCGAACTGGAGTTGAGTTCTTTTTTTTTTGGGGCTTGGGGCGGCTTCAAAGTGTTTACACGCCGTTTAATTTGCCTGTCTGCCTTTATTTGTTATGCAATTAATTTTAATACGAACATACACGCACACAAACAAGCACACACACACACATACACAGATAGATAGCCTGATACAACCCGTAGATACAAATCATATAAAACTTTATGTGAATGCGGCAGCAGGCAAAAACTGTCTGCCTTTCAATTTGGCCAACTCGAGCGTGTCTACCCAGCCAACTGTGCGTCTATGTGTTGCTTGCTCGTGTCGGCATCTTACATTTGATTACAAATACACACACTCACACACACACATAGAGAAACACTCACATACACCCAGATAAGATTGTTATATAAGCCGCTCGCAAGTCGACTGGCACAGGAAATTGCCATTAAATTTTGTGACCTTTAAGTTTTTGATGTCAGCCTTCAACTTTTTGTTGTACAAACTTTTTTACTAACAGTTTTCGTTGATCCATCTGCCGTTGGCACATGTTTCAGTCCACAACATCAAATTTGATTAGCTAAGCAACCTTATTGACCCAATTAAAAAGTTATAAAAACAAAAACGAGCCAAACACATGCTGGGAATTTATTTAAATTTTATGTGATTGGACCAGAGTTTATGTGCTCAATTAAATTGAATTTAAAAGGATAATCGAAATAGTCTCTTAATTGATACGCATACTTTTGCTCAATTTATTTTTATTTAGATACTATCGCTTTTACTCTCTTCGGAACACACTCTCTTCTTGCTACTAATTCAGCTCTGTGATATAGATTCATTTTTTTTGGGCAATTATGCTCTGTGCTAGAATCCAAAAAAAATAGTTATGTGTATTAATCATTTAATAATCATAAGTAAGTATTTCCATAGGTAGGCAATTTCCCTTTTCTGGCAGCTGTTTTATTTAACTAGACAGGAAGCCAGCTTGTTGAAAAAGTAATTGAAGCAGGAAGTACATGTAAGTTGAGTAAGACCCCTTGGCTAACATGTCTTATAACTGTTGAAGTGTTCCTATAGACATGTCTCTATCTATCTCAATATAATCTCCTTTATTCTTGAGCTCCTCTCCAATTGGCAATTAATTTATCTATCGAGACAGGACTGGCAATTTGTTGAAAAAGTAATTGAAGGAGCAGTTACAGCTTAGTTTGATAAAGCAACTTGGTTAGAGAGGCAAACTGTCTTCCAATTCAATCATCTTACAGTTCGTTAAACAAGTTTAAGAAAAATTGAAATACAGTTTATTATTAAACCTGTTTTTGTTTTAGTATTTTAGCTACATATATGCATAAATATTGCTCTAATCTTTGGATTTATTTCTAAGTATAATCCCTTTTGGCAATGTCAGCAAGATTTGCGCATAATAAGCATTAATTGTTAGACAATAAACTAACACTAAATAAAGAAAGCAATAAAAACGCAAATAAATCAAACACAACCTCACATGTAAGTTCGTTCTCAAACTTCTTAAAGAAAAAAAAAAAAAAACAGAATTTGCCAGTAAAATATTGACCGAAAAAGTGTTTATGTTTGTGTTATTGTTGTTTGTGTTTGTGTTGAGGGTCACAAACAAACTAAGGCCGGCTGAGCTTCGAGTGCACGATATTCAAGATATTCAATCAATGGACAAACAAGTTAAGCACATTTTAATCATGAGGCTAAAAGTAAACATTTATCATCTAAAATTCGATGAGACAAGGACGAGAACGAGAACGAGACCGAGAACAAGAACCAGGACGAGGGCGAAGTCAAAGACGAAGACGAGGCCAAAGCCACAGACGAGACGAGGTGAAAGTGTCAATAAATGAAATCCTTAAGAAATTGCTTGTCTGTCACTGAGATTGCGAGTGTGTGTGTGTGTGTGTGTTTCATTGTGTGTATGTGTATGTAGCTAAAGAGCTTATAAGAAGCCAGCGCACAGCAGAAAGTTGCGAATAGGCATTCAGCCTGCCGCCGATTGAATGTCAAAAACTGTTTAGACATAATTGTTGTCATTTTAAGCATCAATTTTCCAGCCAAAAAGCAGAAAACGTTCTTCCGACGTGAATATACCTTGTATTTACCTCTGAATCGCTATAAAATACATTTCTGTGTACGTATATACTTTTCCTATTTTCCTTCCCTTTTGATTCACTCTACAAAATATATTATAAATAATACCATAGGTTGTATTCTGAAACTTATCGCTTGTGGTCAAATGGCAGAAGTTATCGGAAAAATTACATAAGCTTGATTACCACAGGATTAATATCGAAATTTATTGATTGTTGTCCTCAGACTTAACCTACTAATAAATTAAAGATACTCAAAGCTCTTTGGCGATATTTATCGATTGTTGTCAAAAGGCAAAAGTTATCGTAAAATTAAAATACGATTGATTAGCTTAGGATGTATATCGAAATTTATCCGTCATTGTCAAAAGACAGAAGTTATCGAGTAAATAAGATAGGCTTCATTATCTAAGGATGCTCGAAAATATATATACACAGATAATCTATATCGACCCAGCCTGTCTTGATCAAGAATATATGCACTTTGTGGCTTCAGAGATGTCAACCATTTTTGATACATTTAATGGGCGCAGGGTATATTAAAACGAAAACAACAACTCGGACATCGATGTGGGCGAGGCAAACAATGGAATCGCATCTATTGCGTATATCGATTTCTATTGCCGACCGACAAAACGGAAACGCGTCGACTGGCGTTTCGTATGTTTTTTTTTCGCGCTGCTGCTGCTGTTTCTTCTTCTTTAGACTGTGGCTTTGCACCAATGGCGGCCATATTAAATCATGTTGCGCCAAGCAGGAGTGGTGGGTGGTAGGTGGTGGGCGGTGGGCGGTGTGCTGCGGGCGGTGGGTAGTGGCAGCTGCTGCTGTTGTCGAAGCTCATGCAAAAACTTTCAATGGCGTTGGGCTGTTGCCGTTGTTGTTGCTATGATTATTACTTGTACAGGCTACAACCAACGAGCGCCACTTGAGTGCGAGTGTGAGTGAGCGTGTGTGTGTGTGGTTGTGTCTGTGTGTATACATGTTTAAGTGCTACTAAGGCAGCCGCAATAAAATAAGCAAAGTATGCAGCAAGCGGCTCATAAAAAAGCTGCAAAAGAAGCTGCAAAATATGTTACACTCAAGCAACGACTTTTGTATGCTCTACCAAGCGTATATCTATACAAAAGACGATTTCTTAAATTTATAGCATATATATTTATCATTTGACCAACTATTTTGGCTATTTTTATACCCTAAACCCATTAAAAATGGGTAAAAAGGGTATGTTGTATGTGTGCAATATGTAAATGTATGTAACAGGCAGAAGGAAGCATCTCCGACCCCGTAAAGTAGTTATATTCTTGATTAGCATCAATAGCCGAGACGATCTAGCCAAGTCTGTCTGTCTGTCCGTATGTATGAACGCAAGGGTATCAGAACCTATAAGAGCTACAGACTGAAATTTTAGATGTAGGTGCTTCTAGTGCCTGCGCAGATCGACTTTGTTTCCGATAATCGATAACTTGCCCCGTTTCCGAGTAATCGATAAAAATCGATATCGACATCCTGTTTTTTGAGCAATTTTGGTAAATAATAAGATCTAGAGTCACCAAACTTGACATGTACCTTCTAAAATAGTATATATATTTGCATTTGGTGTTGGAAGAAGAGGGTTCGGGGCTCCCGACTAGAACCTCTTACTTGTTTAGCTATTTTTTTGATAGCTATTAATCAATTTAACCTCAATAACAGCTCTCTTACCAAATTTGAGCTTAATAAGGTTTATACTTCTGTGTTATGAGCGTGTATTAGTTGTCAGAACTCACAACACAGTCCATGTTGCTTTTATAACTTGTCTGATGCTCTACATTTTGCCACCTACATAGTTCAAACAAAAGCCTTGACTGGTCCGCTTGCAAAGACTCGTTAAAGATTTATGTCCTTAGCGTGGCGGACAAAATTTTAAATTGTGTCCCGTTTGTTTGTATTGTATATAGCTGTGTGTGTGTGAGCGTGTTTGTCTGTGCAAAGAAATCAAATGCACGCTTAAGTTCACACAATATGCGCTGCTGTCACAGCCGCAGCCGCAGCCGCATCTTCCCTGCCACGCCCATCGTGCGGACACACCTCGAGCAATGTCACTTAACGGCAACGAGCCGCAGCACAAAAACAATTGCCTACTTCAAGGCGCTACCGTGTTGTCAGGCAGTGTGCTGGTTGCCCCGTTGTTGTCTTTGTTGTTGCTGCCTGTTTATTATTATTATTATCATTTTTGGCAAAAAGTTGCCTTTTATTGTTGACGTGTGCTTAAATTGCGAGCGAATAAAGACTCAGCTGGCAAATTTGTCAAGACAGCGTTCAAATTTGCTGTGGCACGTAAAACACATTTTTCAACCTCAAGGTATCGATATCGATTTATGTACATTACGTATACAGATAATCAGACTATAGTAGCGATACCTATAAATAGGCAAATTAATTGCTAAAGAGTAACAATTATAATGAAATAGTTCAAGTTGAAAGTAATCATGAAAGTTTTATCTAGCTTATGTTATCGATATCGACTTATGCACATAACTGGTTTGTGTTATTGACATTCGTGTTATCGATACATGTGTTATCGATATCTGATAATAAGATAACACTTTATTAATGAAATCGTTGTGTTATATTGTGCTTAAAATTAGGTTAAAGTAACTATTGTCGGCTAGGGAGTTACATTAATATTTTCTTAGCAAATTTAATAACTGAAAGGAGCCTATGGAATAGGTTATGTCCTTCAGGAATTTCGGCCACGTATGCGTCGTTATGGTCAAATAAAAGTTTGTGTCAGAAAAGAAAGTTTTACTTTTGACAGCTTGCAATTTGCTTAATTTATTGCCAAACAAAAAAAACTTGTTTGGACCAAATTTTTTCTTAGACTGTCTACTCACTTTCCGTGCTCCACTCCGGCTCGCAGTTCTGCCAGGGCAGCTGTGTGCGAAACGAGGCAAACATGTAGAATATGGTCCAGGCAATGATCAGATTGTAATACAGCATGACAATGGCCGAAACGATGACCATGCCGGTGCCCAGGCCGCGAAAGAGTGGACAGAACCGTCGATAGATGGCCACAGGACCCAATGCTGCATATTGGCCAAACGAGAGCTCCATGAACATTAGCGGCAGACCTGCTATGATGAGCATTATGGTGAAGGGTATTAGAAAGGCGCCTGCAAGTACAAAGTTTAAGTTAGTTTAGCATCGAAATTATTTCATGTGATATCACCAAAACTTACCACCACCATTGTTGTAGCAGAGATACGGAAACCGCCAGACATTGCCCAGGCCCACCGAATAGCCCAGCAGCGAGAGCAGAAAATCAAAGCGTCCCGTCCAGTTGCCACGTTCCGGTTCGGCTGTCTCAATGGTCACCGCGTCTAGTGCGTCCAGTGTGACCAGCGCCGTGCCCGAAGCACAGCCAGCAATGCTGATGGCTGTGGGCGTGGTGCTAAGCTGTGGCGTTGTCACCTCCTTGCCTGATGCCGTTGTTGTCAATGTTAATGCCGCCGCATTACCCGGACAGACCACAGCGCCACCACCGCCTGCAGTAGCTGCTCCAAGCGTTCCGGCTGCTGTTGCCTTTTTGTTATTGTGCGGCAATTTGTGTACTTTGTGCTCCACATTGAATTCACAGCTGGTGAAACGATCCTCATTTTGCTGCAAGGATTGGGAGGGCTGGCCCAGTTAGTTAACCTAGCATGACAGTCACTTGACAAACGTCTGGCCAGCTGCCAGGCAGCAGCAATGAATGGCATTCTGTTCTCATTAATGGCGCATTATGTGGGTCACAACGAATTTCGTATGCCCTCTAGCGCTCACATTAAATCAAAAGAATACTTAGCTGAATACAAAACTGTCTATTAACATGTTGTTAATATTAGCAAAACGATTCACATTCACTTCGCTTGCGCTTTTCATTTATCGCCTATCGATAAATAATAAGGTTAAATCTGTTTAATGTTTGTTATTAAATGGCGTTTTGAATTACCATGTGTAACGATACTTTTGAATTAATTATAAACTGAATATCGATATCGATTAAATGCGATCCACATTTGTGTTGTTTGAACTCTTCATTCGTGGTTTATCGTTAAATATATTAATGTAAGACTATAAAATGATTCCTAATACTATCCACATCCATATTGATTACGTTCAATATTTATCGCTTATCGCAAAAAGAAAATTAATCGCTTTCTGAAATTCGATCCACATTCATTTATCTATCTTAACTACGTACAACGTTTATTATTTATCGGGGAGCGTAATTAAATCGGGTTGTTAAATATCATGACTATCGATAATTTTTAAAGTTAATGCAAGTTACATGCGATCCACATCCATAAGGCTTGCTCTTTTCATTTATATACTATCGGATAATACTTAAAACGTATTTTACAGACCTTAATTGAATATCGTGATTATCAATACACATCGCAGTTCAATTAAAAATGCATTACGGACCACATTAAATATTATTACGATTATTATTCATCGTCCATCGGAAATCATAATTTTAACGCCTTTTGAAAAGTACCATATGAAGGATTGCGCAATAAATAAATAAAAATTGTTAAACAGTGAAAGACTTGAGTATTAAAATTCAGAAAATTTTAATAACAATGTCTTATATCATAATAACTTAGTCAGTTTTCGTTATTACCTCCCATAGATCCACATCCAGTTGCGTGCTTGACTCTTTGTTCGGCTTGAGGCTTTTCGTTTTAGATTTCGTCTTTGATTTCTTATCCATGTTGTGCCACAATTGTTGCTGCTAATTGCATGCTATTCTGTGGCTTGTGTCTCTTGCGTTGCTGTTTTGTGTTGCAGCTTTTTGGGTATCTGTTTTGTGATTTATGTCACTTGCTTCATAAATTCAAATTTTCGAACAGATGGCGCTCAGTTGTGGCCAAGGATTGCATAGCTTGTGTTTGGCTCTTTTGTGCTGGCCTTGTGTCCATGGAGCGTGGCTAAAGCTGTGCCCTTAGGTCATGTTTGTGACACTGCTAGAAACAAAAGATAGACAATTTGGTTAATGATGCTGAACAAAGGGTTGAGATAGAGAGACAGGGAGAGAGAGAGAGAGAGAGAGGGAGAGAGAGAGATGGGGAATTATAGGAACTTAATTCCAGTTAGCAAAAATACCATTTAAATTGGAATTTCAGGTTCAATTAGCGTGAGAATTTTACATTTGTTTTGCATAATATTTCCGTCTTTTTTTTTTTTTTGTGTGTTAAATTTGGCATCTCAATTTGCATTTAAATAGTTAATATACCACGCTAATTAGCTCGTATAAATAGCGAAATTTTCCAACTATTGCTGCCCACACAGCAGCCGGGTTCATTTTCAATCCCATTTGATGGGTGTGAAAATATTGGCATCAAAGCTGCATCGATTCATTTCATTTTGCACTCTGACTGGCATTGAAAAGAGACGCGTGCAAAAAAAAAAAATTAAATATATATATATATATATATATATATATATATATATAATGAATATGGGAGAAACCTTCACATTGACATTCAAAAAGAATACAAAAAAACGGCATACATAAATATGAATAAATGCGTTGTATGCAGAATATATTTTAAATTAACTCAACTGATGCTGATGTGGGCGGGCAGATATCAGACAGCAGAGTTGGTTGTAACAAGGGCAGCTAGCTTTATGGTTATGTTTACATATTGCATAGGTTTTACCTTACAGTTCGTTAACAAAAGATGCTGCCCAAGGAAAATTGAGAAAATGGGGAAAATAGAGAAAATAATGCGGAACCTTGATGCAGATTATTTTGTGTTGCACAGGAAAATGCAAATAATATGTTAGATTTTAATATCTATGTGTTACGGAACTGCTTGTTTCTCAGTGGGCCGCGCCGGCTGGCTCATCGGATTCTCTGGGTGTGGTCCCATCCCTGGCCCGCAGTCCGCACAATCGATAACAACAAAGCTACACGTCTGTAGCAAAACAGACTCACACAACACTACTCAAAATGAACCGCATAATCGATAACAAATATTCGGAACCACTAACTCATGAACAAAATACACAGCTGTAACTATGAAAATGTAAACAACAAAGGTAAGACACTCAATATAAATTAACAAAAAAAAACTATTTATCCACCTTACTCTTCCAGATCGGGCCCCGGTTCCGGACCCAGCGTACCCGCCCTACCATGAGACGATCACCTCCACTCGTCTCCCTCATTTTGGCCACTAGATGGCCTATATTAGCCCGTGTCGGCCATAATGCCCACTCTCCCCAGCAATATTATTTTAGCCGGACATGACTTCTTTCAATAGGTGCGTATAATTGGTTGCGTTTTCTTAAAATGTATAACAATCATAATCATTGCTTATGGCATTTATCTTGCAGCTGTTTAGGATCTCATGCAAGCGGATAATTCATTAACTTCACAGGTGCGTATTACTGCTGCATATATTTATACTAATTGACAAAGCGCCTTAATTCCTAAATTTTTCTCTTATCCTATAGAATTAATATTTTTAAATTTTTTTTTTCTACAACACTGAATGGGACAGGCGACGAAACACCACAAGGATATTGCGAGTCGCCGTAAAAGAAACGCGCAAGGAGGCAATTTAGAGGCAATCGTTGCGCCGATTTAGGAACAATGGCCCACACAATTACTCAAAGCTGGGTATGCCACATATTATGTATTGTATGTATTAAATCGCTTAATTCTACCTTACCCTACCTAAAGAGCTCTCTGGGGGGGTGGTAAGGGGCGATATAAATGCGTAAAATTCAGATTAGGTAAGTATGTGAGCATAGTTCGCGCAAATGTAACTTTTAGATTTTTATATTTTACAGGCGCAGATGCATCACCGTTGGAGTTTTCCTCACCGTTCGCACTCTAAAGTGAAGCTCGGCGTAAGTGCCTATGTATGTATGAATATATTTTATAAATACAAATTAACCAAATTTAACGATAAAAAAAATCTACTCCTTTTCAGGGAGTGCAATTAGGAGTCTTCTTCTGACTCTGCCAGGGGCTCGAACGAGGATGGGCAAAACAATGGAACGGACTCACTCGGTGGATGTGGGCGGGGTCTCGCCTGTGGCCGCTTCTTCGTTGTTGGAGCCCGGTCGTTGGTGGCTCGTCTCGTCGCCTTCACGTTTGCGCCGACGCTTGCTGGCGGCGTCGCGGATATGGCTGGTTTGCGCCGCTGCACTGAATCCTGGCCTTGAATATTTCGTGGGCCTCTCTGGTGCGCGAGCTGGTCTCCTTGGTGCCGAAGCCGTTAATTTTTGGCTTATTTGGGTCCTCTCTCGTCGCACTTAAGTTTTTAAGTCTCTTTTAATTTTTTTATTATATTTTTTTTGCGACTCGAGTGGTTTGACTTATATATTTTTATTAAATGGCGAAAAAAGAACACAAAAACAAGACTTTTATTCGTCTGTTAAGCCACTGGTATTATGTGCCGGCTTAAATTTTCAGAAGGGAAAAAAATTTTACTCTGTCGAGCAGAAATGCAATGCCCAACTTTTTTTGCTCACTTCGAGCTGGCACGCCCGCCGTTAACCGCTGAACAAATCGAACTCCTCGACATTTTTGGCAGCCACACCATCGGTGCCGAATTTCGGCACACGCATACATTTGCGAGGCGGGCACCGTTGCTGCTCATCTGCACAGCTGCATTTTTTTGGGTCAACGGCCCAAATGAAGGCCAAGGGCATATCCAAGGGCATGCGATCCACTCTCCTCGTATTCCCTTTAAGAGCGAACCGGGCGGCCAATAGCAATCGTCGCTTTTGGCGCCGTGGATCGCATGTCTGGCGTTGCCACCCTTCAAAATTTTGGGCTCCGCCGTGGGCCCAGCTTCACCCCGCATACTCCGACCATATGACAAAAAGATATCGGCGTGGCCGATAATATCGAACGCGACCAACTGAGTAACCCTCGGTGCTACCGATAACGTCAAATGCAACATCACCACGCAGATTATTGTAACGACATGAAGGACAGTTACAAGGAATCTGCGTGCGCATTTCCTGGATTGACCCAGCCGGCTAATAACGATGCCCAACGTAGGCCACACCCACGACAAGTAATCTATATTTTTTTTTCGCTGACCCAAAAAAAAAGGGGGGACTGGCGCTGCCGCCGCCGTTGCCTGGCAAGGAGGTGAGCAAATTACGATTATGTTCGTATATCTTTTGCGTGGAAGACGCCTAGCACGCGTCCCTGGAGATCTTCCAACTCGTAGGCGTTGGTTCCCACGGCTCGGACGACGCGGCTCTTCAAGAACTTCCGGGCGAACTTGGCATTGAAGGCTTTGCCGAAGCTGCTCAGTGCGAAGTTGCGCCTCCACACTTCCTGTCCCGGTTCCAGATGGAGCTGTCGCGCGCGGTGGTCGTACCGTTGGCGACTTCGCTCGTATGCGGTGTGCAGGTGGTCCTTGACTTGGCTTCGGATTACAGCCAGTCTGTCCTTTGCGTCAAGGTCAGAAATACTGTGGTCGGCCAATGATCTCAGCTTCCTGGCCAGTTTGTAACTGGAACCATTCAGGTACATCTGCTGTCCAAAGACCGCGAAGAACGGAGTGACTCCCGTAGCGCTGTGGACCGCATTCCGGATCGCCACTTCCACCTCTGGTAGGTACGCGTCCCATTCCCGATGATCCTGACCCAGGTAGGTTCGGATTGCCGACAGCACTGTGCGGTTCACGCGTTCGGCGGCGTTGCTCTGAGGCGAATACACTGGTGTGCGCAGGTGAGTAATGCCAAACGCCTGGACCATCGCATCGAACGACTTTGACACGAATTGTCGTCCATTATCCGAATGGATCACTTCCGGCACGCCAAATTTGAAGAACACCTCATGCACTAGGAAGTTCACGACATCCGCCGCGGTGGCTTCCCTCATGGCCTTCAGGAAGGTAAACTTCGAGAAGTGGTCTACGACGACGAATATCCACGCATGCCCTCGTTTCGACCGTGGATACTTCCCCAAGAAGTCGATATATAGCTTCTGGAAGGGGCGGTCGGTGCGCACTTCTTCCCCAATTCCGACCTGCATCCGGTAGTTCTGTGCCTTGGTCTCCTTGCATGTATCGCATTTCCGAACATAGTCCCTGACTTGTATGGCCATGTTGGGCCAATAATATCGCCTGCGCAGCGCGTGCAGCGTTTTCCTCATGCCTCCATGAGCTGACGTCTCGTCCGCGTGTGCTTGTTGGATGAGTCCTGCCGTCAGCGACTCCGGCACCCAGAGCTTCCAACTGGTGCCTTCGACCTCATCCTCCAAGCTCTCGTGCACGGTCCTCTTGAACAGAAGTCCGTCCTGCACTCTAAGGTCCGGCAACTTCCCTTGTTGGCTCATCACCTCTCTTATCAGCTCTCGATATTCGGTGCTCTCGAACTCCGGGGTCTGAAATCCCAACAGATCTTCCGGGGTCAGTTCGACCTCTTCCACGCTTCGGGACAATGTGTCTGCGACGACGTTGTCGGCTCCCTTGCGGTACTGCATGGAGAAAGGGAACGCTTGCAGTTCTAGGGACCACCTGGCTAATCTCCCGCTCAAGTCTTTGAGACTCATAAGCCACTGCAGACTCGCATGATCGGTGATTACCGTGAACGGCATCATCTCCACGTACGGCCGGAATCGATGTATGGCCAGTTTGGCGGCTAGGCATTCCTTCTCGGTCACCGAATAGTTGATCTGGTGCTTGTTGAGTTTGGCCGAGAAGAATGCGATCGGCCTTTCCTGTTGTTCGTCGTCTAGCTGGAACAACACGGCTCCTACTCCGTAGTGAGATGCGTCGCATTGGATGAAGAATGGTCTTCGAAAATCCGCGTGAACTAACACCGGGGCTGTGGTGAGGGCTAACTTCAAGTTTTCTATGGCTTCTATGGCCTCGTCGCTCAACACAAATCTACCCGTTCTCTTCTTAAGGGCATCAGTCAACGGTACCGATATCTCGGCGAAGTTCTTTATGAATCGGCGGTACCACCCCGCCGTACCTAAGAAGCTTCGTAGTTCCTTGACCGTCCTCGGATTCGGGATGTTCCGGATCGCTTCTACCCTTCCCGGATCCATGCGCAGCGTCCCGCCGCCTATGATGAAACCCAGGTAGTTTAGGTTGCGGAAGCAGAATTTCGACTTCGCCATGCCTATGGTGAGGTTCGCGTTCCTCAGACACTCGGCCACCAATTCCAAGTATTTTAAGTGCGTTGGAAAATCTGCCGATATTATCAGCAAGTCGTCCAGGTATACGAATACGTTGGACCTCAGATTCGCCGGGATTACCTTATCCATGAGCCTGCAAAGTTGTTGAGCGGCGTTGCAGAGCCCGAATGGCATGTGGCGGAACTGGTACAGCGGCCTCCCTGGTACAGTAAACGCCGTATACGCCCTGCTCTTCTCCTCCATCTCTATTTGCCAGAACGCGAACTTAAGGTCGACGCTAGAGATGAAATGAGTCTCGTCGATTCGCGATAGGATGCCCTCGATGCATGGAAGCGGGTAAGCGTCTTTTACCGTTACACTGTTTAATTTCCTGGCGTCTAAGCAAAACCTGTTCTTCCCAGGCCTCATCACCACCGTCGTCCGGTTGCTCCACGGGCTGTCACTCTCCTCGATGATGCCCAACTTTAGCATCTTATCCACCTCGGCCCACACGATCTCTTGTTTGGCCGGGGACAGCGGATAATGTCTGTCTTTCACGGGTTCTGCTCCCTCGATCAGCTGAATTCGGTGCTGCAGCAGGTGAGTTTTCCCTAGGCCATCCTTCTCAAATTGGAGAAATCTGCTCTTCACGCTTTCCAACTGACTCCTCTGATCGTTGTCCAGGTCCCACATTTCCGGATCCGTCACGCAGTCGTCGTCGTCCCGGTAATAAGCCACCTCTGGGTTTGCTACCGTTACCTCAGATGCCTCTGGTGGTGTTTCGGACTTTCTGGCCGGACCGAGCAGCTCTGGTGCGATCTCGAAGGCTCGCCAGAAGTCGATTCCCAGGTATAGTTCCTGTCGCAGGTCCGGGCACATGTAAAATACGATATATTCCGTTCTATTCCCGTATTTCACAGGCAGAACAACGCGACCTAAAATTGGGCGATTGGCACCCGCCGCTGTCCTCACCATCGATTCGTATGGCCGCGCTTCCCATCCCAGTTTCTCCACTAACTCCCGGCATCCTTGTCCCAACAGACTGACGGAGGCCCCCGTGTCCAGCAACCCTTTCATTTTGGCCCCAGCGACCTCAACTTCGGCGAATACTCGTGGGTCTATACTCTCCTCCCGTCTCACCGCTTCGACGACCTGGCGCCTGGTAATCCTGCGTCTGCGGAAGCGCGCACGTGCCTTCACCATTCTCCGGGTGGCTAGCGTCATCCCCTCCAGCTGTCGCTCACCAAAAATTCTATTTCGGGCCGACATGTATGCCCGAACACGTTCTTCGTATGGTAAGCCCCTAAGTGTTCCTCCTTTGCTTATACTATTATTATAATTAGCCTTATCCTGATCCTTATTCCAAATCTCCGTCTCCTTTCCAATGATTATTGGCTCTGGTAGGTGCCCCTCTCCTGCTTTCCCGCGGTCGCCGTCCCGGAACGCGTCTGTCCCGCCATCACCGCGCTCCCTCTGGGGTTTCCCGGACAGTTTTCACACTGCGAGCAGAAAGTGTCCGGCTTTCCACACCTATAGCAGAATATTTTCCGCTCCTTGGACAGGCAGTCTCTAAAGACGTGGTCGAACTGTCTGCAGTTCCAGCATACAATTCGGGATGAGTTCCTGCTTCGCACGAATGCCTCCTCCAGTTCTCCCGGTGGCGTTTCTGTAAGATGCGGTGGAACTTCAACCTCGTGGACTACGGGCCTCGTTCCTTGTGGACAACGCGACGGCTGAA